ACTACAGGTGTGCACCACCACACCTGGCTAATATTTTGTATTTTTTGTAGAGATGGGGTTTTGCCATGTTGCCCAGGCTTGTCTTGAACTCCTGGGCTCAAGCAATCCTCTTGCCTTGACCTCCTAAAGTGCTGGGGTTACAGGTGTGAGCCACCATGCTTAGCAAAAATGTATACTTTAAATATGTGTAGCATGCTGGGAGCGGTGGCTCACACCTGTAATTTCAGTACTTTGGGAGGTTGAGGTGGGCAGATCACTTGAGGTCAGGAGTTCGAGACCAGCCTAGCCAACATAGTGAAATTCCGTCTTTACTAAAAATACAAAAATCAGTTGGGCTTGGTGGTGGGTGCCTGTAATCCCAGCTACTAGGGAAGCTGAGATGGGAGGATCAATTGAACCTGGGAAGTAGAGGTTGTGGTGAGCCAAAATTGAGCCACTGCACTCTAGCCAGGGTGGCAGAGCAAGACTCCGTCTCAAATAATAATAATAATAATAATAAATACATGTAGTTTATTGTAAGTCAATTATGCCTCAATAAAGCTGTTTTTAAAAACCTCATTGAATTAGACACTCAAGATCTGTGCATTTTATTGTAGGTAATTATATGTGTATACATACAATATACATGTGTACAAAAATACATATGCTTTACATGTATATATACACACACACAAACATATATATATTCTTTTAAGGACTCAGAAATCACTTTTCCTTTGACCTCGAGTGGGTGGCCCTCAGAATCCCCAGGATAGCCACCTGGCAGTGCATCTTTGGGCTGGTCCCTTTCTTCTCTGGGAAGCAGTGTCCTCTTTCGTCAAAAGCCTGGCTGTGCTCTGAGGTCCTCGCCAGTTCTAATGTCTATGGTTCTGTGAACCTAAGGATGAAAAAATGAGTCCCCTGCAAACAGTGACGGCAGACGGTTAAACCAGAGCAGATTTCCAGTCCAAACCCTAGGGCCCGGCCTGAGCCACTTCAAATTCCGTGATCCCTGCATGTTTGCACAGCAAAAAACCTGTTGTTCTTAAAGTACTGATCTTGGAGCTGGGGCCAGGGAGGCTGGGAGATGGTAAATATTGACACTGGCTACCTGGGTCCTCGCTCCAGGCTGCTCTGCTGATATGAGCCAGAGGAGGGGCCGGTCTGGCAGCCCTGGGCCCTGCATCTTTCTGGAACCACCTCACTGAGTGCTGTTTGGGTGGTCACTAAGGCACCTGCTCCTTTCTGAAAGGAAGAAGCAATTAACTGGAAAGAAACGAATGCTGGTTCTTCTGCCCGAGCCAGCCACCTCCTGTTCATGGGCTGTGGCCCTTTGGCCAGGCCCCAGCTCTGCCCTCTAGGGAGACCTGGCTGGAAATGAGTGAGACATGACCAGGGGTATGGTGGGCTCTGGATTTGGGCCTATCAAGGTTTGGATTGTGGTGCTGCTTCTTAAAAGCTGTGATCTTAGACAAGCAATTTCATCTCTCTATGCCTCTGGGGAGTGTGAGTAACCAAACCAGGTACCCAGAGTGGTCGTGAGGATTACATAAAATGAGATGCCAGGTACAACATACAGAGCTTCCCAGTGGCACCTGGCAGGGACTGAGCACTCCTTACACCTTGACTATCAATATTCATTAAAGCCCCTGGCACATCGCCTGGCACCCTTTCTTCTGCATAAAGCTTTACTGCTTCCAAGTGACATTTGCATTCTGGAGCTCACTTTTCCTCTCAGCAAGCCTTCGAGAGAGTCTGGCACTGTGTCCTCATTCCTGATGTTCAGAAGTCAGCCTTCTTGCAGCCCTTCCTCAAAAGGAGGAATCAAAATACCTGTGTTCCTCCTGCTGAAAACCTCTGCCAGCAGCCTGCGGCCTTCACAGTCGAACTCCCACTTTGCTGCCAGGATCCAAGGCTCTCCTGACATCCAGGCACACCCTCATCAGCCACATGGCCTCCCCACCCTGCACCCACCTCACCCTCCTGCCTGGTGCCCGAGCATCTCTTCCATCTGGACTGCCCTCTCCATGTCGCCTCCCTGGCTCATTCTTAATCACCCTTCAGGGTCCTGCTTGGGTATCACCTCTGCAAGGAAGCTTTCCCAGACCTCCAGAGATAGTATAAAACTGAACTACCATGGTGTATTAGTCTGTTCTCACACTGATAATAAAGACATACCCGAGAAAATTTACAGTGAAAAAGAGGTTTAATGGACTCACAGTTCCACATGGCTGGGGAGGCCTCACAGTCATGGTGGAAGGTGGAGGGGGAGTAAAGGCACATATTATAGGGCAGCAGCCAAGAGAGGATGTGCAGGGGAACTGCCTTTACAAAACCATCAGATCTTGTGGGACATATTCACTACGGTGAGAACAGTATGTGGGAAACTGCCCCCATGATTCAATTATCCCCACCTGGCCCCGGCCTTGACACATGGGATTATCACAATTCCAGGTGAGACTTGGGTGGGGGCACAGCCAACCATATCACATGGCAAGGCCCCGGACTTCAGAGGTGGCATTCCTGTCTTGCCAGGAACACTTCAGCAGACTGCCTCACCTCTCTAAGCGAGAGGTTTTAGGTCCTCTGAAAACAGTACCTACCTCATAGTGTTGTTGTGTGGCTGAAGGCAAAGCCCCACTTACCATAGTGCTGGTTCATTGTCAGCGCTCGACAGATGCTAGCTGCGTGCACCTAGGTACCTGGCTTTTAGTCCTTGCCCAGCTACTGACAGGCTGAGTGGACACAGACAAGTCTGTCTTAGCCTTGGTTTCCCCATTGTGTTAATGAAGGATCTTAAGCCCCAGAGGCTTGTGGATGGGTTTGGTTGGGGTAAATTAATATGCAGCCCACAGTGCTGGGGCATCTGGGCATTTTTTCAGAGAAGCGCTGCAGGCCACCCACTGAAGAAGCCTAACTGTAGCACCAGCAGACTCCGCAGGAAGCTGGGCACTCTCCAGCCGCCCGAACCGCCACGACTGATGGTGTGAGCAAACTTACGCTCATGCTCTGATCTTGCCTGGCTTCCTGTGGCCAGTGCTCAGGACATGTTGTCATTTGAGTGCTGAAATGAACCTCTGGACCTTTCTTGTTCCTCAAGGACAAATTCAACCCCCTCTTTCCCTTGAGACTGGCATCCTGCTGGAGAAGACATGGCCAAGGCAGGAGGTCAGGAGCACACTCCTTCCCAGGCATCCTGGGCTCCTCATCCTTCTCATCCCCCAGCCTTACTGTCCCCCATCCCCCACCCATAGGAGGGCCTGAAGACCCATGAATTCTACCAGTAAATAGCCCTCGCCCACCCCTTTTTTCTGCGCACTTGGTCCAGGCCCTTGGTGTCTTTTTATTGGGCTATTGTGTGAAAGATGAGACAGGTAGCTCATGCCTATAACTCCAGAGCTTTGGGAAGCCAAGGTGTGAGTATTGCTTGAGGCCAAGAGGTCAAGACCAGCCTGGGAAACATAGGGAGACCCTCATCTTAAAAAAAAAACCCAAAAAACAGCTGAGTATGACAGGGCATGCCTGTAATCCCAAATTCTTGGGAGGCTGAGGGAGGAGGTTCATTTGAGCCCAGGAGTTTGAGGTTGCAGTGAGCTATGATGATGCCTGTGTACTCAGCCTGGGTGACAGAATAAGACCCTATCTCTAAAAATATATATAAATAAAGATTGTGGGCTGGGCATGGTGACTCATGCCTGTAATCCCAGCACTTTGGGAGGCTGAGGGGGGAAGATTAAGAGGTCAAGAGATTGAGACCATTCTGGCCAACATGGTGAAACCCGTCTCTACTAAAAATACAAAAATTAGCTGGGTATGATGGCATGTGCCTGTAGTTCCAGCTACTCGAGAGGCTGAGGCAGGAGAATTGCTTGAACCCAGGAGGCGGAAGTTGCAGTGAGCCGGGATTGTGACACCTGCACTCCAGCCTGGCGCCTGGTGACCAAGTGAGACTCTGTCTAAAAAAAAAAAAAAAAAATCGTGGTAGATCCAGCTTCCAGGCTAAACTGCCCTTGATGATAGCCCAGTGCCATGCTAAGCTCTCCATGATCCATGCCCTGCTACCCCTCTCACCTCTTCTAGCTCCTCACCCACCCCCTACTGTGGCCTCTCTGGCCTGTTGGACAGTCCCTGGCTGGGCCGTCTGGTTACACTTCCATGACTTTGTTCACTTCATCCACTCCTACCTCCGGAAATGCTTCTGGCCTCCAGAGCTGGCCCAAAGTCCTCCTCTGGGAAGGCAGGCTCCTCTGGTTCGAGTCAGAACTAAGGATGCCCGAGGGCTCTCTCAGCTCCTGCTTGCGCTGCAGTTGGAGAGAAACTCAGCGGAACGTGCCAGAGCTGAGGGCTGTTGCAGGAGCTCCTCAGTTGGTTCGGGTCAGAAATGTGATTGCTCCGGCTCTGGGAGGCCCCTCCTCGGAGCGTTCAGCCCAGCATTTCCTGCAGTCCCAGCCATCCCTCCATGGAGCCAGTGCTTCCTCCAGATGACCCTGAGCTCCTTGTGTGCTAGGATCCAGGTCTCTTCTCTGGAGGCGTGGCACCTGGCTTACCTTGGTCCAAATCAGGTTTGCAGAGACTGATGAGCGAACGAATGTGTGAGGCAATAAATGAACCAGAGCTCACCAGTCCCTTGGATGCTCATTTTCAGTTTTCTTTTTAAATTTTTTTTACTTTAAGTTCCGGAATACATGTGCAGGTTTGTTATGTAATTATACGTGTGCCATGGTGGTTTGCTGCACCCGTCAACCTGTCATCTAGGTTTTAAGGCTCTATTCATCCTGATGCTCTCCCTCCCCTCACTCCCCACTGCTAACAGGCCCCAGTGTGTGATGTTCCCCTCCCTGTGTCTGTGTGTTCTCGTTGTTCAACTCGCACTTATGAGTGAGAACATGCAGTGTTTGGTTTTCTGTTCCTGTGTTAGTATGCTGATGATGACGGCTTCCAGCTTCATCCATGGCCCTGCAAAGGACATGATCTCATTCCTTCTTATAGCTGTCATTTTCAGTTTTCAAAACTCAGAAAGCTGATGTGTAAACCCAATTTTATTAATTTTCAGTGGGGAGTGTCTGTCTCCCTTGACAGAAGCCCTCCCATCGGGCAGATCACAAGTCTGTCTTTTAGGGTATTGGTGGGACACTTTCTGACCCTCAATCTCATGTTTAATTTGATTTTATTAAAAAGAAATCTTTTGTGACAGGGTCTTTGTTGCCCAGGCTGAAGTGCAGTGGTGTGATCATGCCTCACTGCAGCCTCAACCTTCCAGGCTCAAATGATCCTCCCACCTTAGCCTCCTGAGTAGCTGAGTCTACAAGTATGCACCACCACACCCAGCTATATTTTTCTTATTTTTTGTAAAGATAGTTTCTCCCTATGTTTCCCAAGCTGGTCTTGAACTCCTGGGCTCAAGTGATCCTTCCACTTCAGTGTCCCAAACTGCTGGGATTATAGGTGTGAGCCACTGCACCTGGCAAGCTCCCTTTTAAAATACCCCGCAGAGACTGTGCCCTGGCCAAGGTATAAGCACACAGGTAGCTGGAAAGGCTTCAGGGCTGGAGTGCCATAGACGGTGTTTGGGTCCCAGTTCCAGCACTGACTTTGCTGTATGATTCTGGATATTATTGCCCTCTCTGGGCCTCAGTTTTCTCATCCGTCTAGTGGAAATATCCATCCTTGCCTGCCTCAGTGGTGTGAAGCTGGAAAGATAACCAGAGAAGCAGCTCAGTCAGGTTCCGGGACCAAAATATAGTTCCTACTTCTGGAAAACTGGGCTGTTTAGGTGGGCAGCTGGGCCTAGAGTGGAGGGTGGGGAGTGGTGGGGTGGAGAGCAGGATGGGCAGACAAGGAGACTGGTGAGGAGCCCTTCAAGATGCTCTTTCTCCAGATCTTCTATTGTATAGCTCGGAGCTTCCTGGGGCGGCTTCCCACTGGTAGGATGCCAGATATCGTTTCATGTGCCGTGTCATGTGGTTAAATCAGCAGAGCCTGCTGGGATAACTGAATTGTGGAAGATGCTAAGGTTTCATCCAAGCCCAGTATATCTGCCTTAGGTACCAAAGGGGTAGGAAGTGGCATATATTTCATGCATGTGCCATCATGAAGGCTAAACTTGGCTTGTCATTTAAGCCCCAGACCTATCACTCCAAGGGGTGACGGAATTAGGATCCACAAGTCTGTCTTGGAGCAGTTTGCAGATTTCCTCTGTGTGGCCCCAGAGACAGTCGTGAAATCATGGAAGCAGACTCCCCTCGTCTGTGTGTGTGTGTGTGTGTGTGTGTGCCATCACGCCTGGCTAATTTTTGTATTTTTGGTAGAGACGAGGTTTCATCATGTCCCCTCATCTTCGTTAGAAGCCACCTAACATGTTAATGAGCTCCTGGTCATTGAAGGCATTCAAGCAGAGGCATTTGGAACTTGAAAGCAGAAGAGAAAATTCCTATTCGGAAATGATGTGTAGATCCCATTTCAAATACTCCTTTCTACCCTTGAGCACTAAGATTCGATTTTCTTTTCTTTTCTTTGAGACAGAGTCTCACTCTGTCACCCAGGCTGGAGTGAAGTGACGTGATCTCAGCTCACTGCAACGTTTACCTTCCAGTTTCAAGCAATTCTCCTGCCTCAGCCTCCCAAGTAGCTGGGACTACAGGTCCCACTACTTTTAGTAGTGGGCTAATTTTGCCCACTGCAAAAATTAGCTCTGCCACCACACCCAGCTAATTTTTGTATTTTTAGCAGGGATGGGGTTTCACCATGTTGGCCAGGATGGTCTCGATCTCTTGACCTTGTCATCTGCCCATCTCGGCCTCCCAAAGTGCTGGGATTACAAGTGTGAGCCAGCACACCTGGCCTAGGATTCGATTTTCATGTGAAGGGTTATCAGCGCCGTTCCAGCCGGCCTTCCATGCTGGCCTGAGCGGCCCACTCAGGGTCCAGGACAGGCGTACTCATCCGACCAGTCGGAGCAGTGCTGTACGTGGTCGCGGCAGAGACGCCTCGGGATACAGCCGCAGTACTTGAAGACAGTTGAAGGACAGGGCCACCACCCAGGGCCACAGAGTGGGCACACCGTCACTGGGGAGACAAGAGCCAGCAGGAGAGCAGTTGCTGTGTCCTGGAATGCTCTGGGCACCAGGGCACTCCCCACTTCTGAAACCAGCCACAGCTCCCCACAGCCCTGACCCATCTGACGTGGGTTGAGTGTGTTCCTAGCTTTCCTGCAGCAGAGAAAATCTTGATTCCACAACTCACAGGCCGTGTGACCTCGCTCACCCTGTCTGAACCTGTTTCCTCGTCTGCTCAAGCTTGTTATTCAGCAAAGGATGTTAGGCAAACTGCCAGGCCCACGGTCAAGGCCTCCACATGAACGGGTGCCCTTCCTTCCCGAGTCCAGCCATGCTCACCCGCCACGACTCCCTGAGGGCGCTCCTAGTTTTCTCCCCTCTGCCCAGGCCTCTGGCATTCCTCCCCACACACCCCGCCTCTGCCTACTGAATCCTGTCTATTCTCTAAGGCCTTCTTGAATGCAACCTCTTCTGAGAAGTCTCCCTTGATTCCTTCGGGTCCCTAGCACCTCCTTTTGGCATCGGCATGATGTGAGTCTTGGGGGTAGGACACATGACTGATTCCTGATGTCCCCACCAGAATCTGATGCCAGGTGTGTTCTGAGCACCTGACCAGTGCTCAGAACGTGCTTGTTGACTGGCCACTGGGGAAGGGATTGAGAGAGACTCGGGGCAGCCACAGGACTCAGGAATTGTCTCAGGAGGCCTGGGTTCGCCTCAGCTCCTTTCCTGTCATGCATTGTACTAAGCTTCTCCTCTCAAAGCCTCAGTTTACTCACATACAAATTGGGGCCAGTGATTCCGGCCCTGCATTCCTCACGGAGTTATTGGGAGGTACAGAGATGAGGGAGCCCCAGGTTCAAATCCCAGTTGGGCCACGTATGTACTCCTTGCCTGACACCTTCTGGGGCCCAGTTTTCTCATCTGCGCCCTTGAAGGTGACTCGCCCGCTGCAGAAGAATGAGCCTCCAGAACAAGTCACTGGGAGGGTCGTGAGCCCCCCACCACCAGACGTATTCAAGCAGGGGTAGAAAACTTCCTAGGCGGCAGGGAAGGCATGCAAGGGGAGCCCTAGAGATTCCCTGGTCACCCTTTGCCCTCTGGCTGCTGCCTGGCCGCCTGCCCCAGCCCAGCCTGTGCCCAGACCCTACCTGGGCTCAGTTCATCTGAGCAGTCCCCGCAGTTGTTGGTCCCATCACATTTTTGGTCTGAGTAGATCCAAGAGGCTGGGTCTCCACAGTGGGCCACGAGGAAGCGGGGGAGGCTGTGGGGCACATCTCCTGTAAAAGGGCAGAGGAGGCAGGAAGGAAGTCCATACCTGGCCACAGATGTCTGAGGGCTATCTGGAGGAGGACCGGCCACCCTGGCAGTTGCCAAAGTCAAGATCAGTGCCCATCCACCCCAGAAGGGTGCAAGCAGAAGGCTTCCTGGGGAGGCAGCAGAGTCAGAGGGAGAGGAGAGCTCCGTCCCTGGACAGATGCCCAGAGAGCTGCCCCTCCCTTCCTCAGTTCCTCCTCAGCCCTGGAGTCTTCCTACCCCACACCACTGCTGATACTATGCCTCCCTCCACAAACAGCCTCCATGACACCTATCCAAAACCTTTTCACTTTCGAGTTCAGGCTCAAGTTCCTTCACCTCCAGGAAGCCTCCTCTAACTGGAACATCACAGGAATAAATGTGGAGTCTTATAGTTGGGCCCCAGAGCTCAGGGGACGTAGGGTTCACACACCTGTGAGGCACAGTCGGAGCACCTTTCTTGAAAGTGTGTTCTGTTAGGTAGCGGTGTGATAGGGCTACCAAAAATTTGCACAAACTCAGGCTGTATCACTAGAGGTAGAAAACCTTGGCCAGGGAGGGAGCAAGCTTCTGGACCTTAGACTGCCCAGACACAGCTGTAAGGCCCAAGGACATTTCTGAGGAATGTCCAGGAAGGGGGACAAGGGCAGTTGATATTCATTCTGTGGAGCAATGATGGAGTGAGGAGGGCCAAGAACTGGGTCACAAGGGGGCTGACTGTGACCTGCAGAAGGGGTGTGGCCTGGAGAATTGCACCCTCATGGGGGGCAAGGGAGCAATCTCCAAATCCATGCAGTGCCACCATCATGGGAGAGATTAAAACGTGGTCTGTTGGGCAGGGCTGACAGAAGGACAGAGTTGGAATCAGTCAGGGAGGAATCGCTCTGGGAGGCAGCTCTGAGGTTGGAACAAGGAAAACCTTCCAATCCTTGCATCCCAGGGGACAGAATCAGAGGCTGGGTGGCCTCGGCTGGGCTTGCTAGAGAGGGGATTGGGGATGAATGGGGCAAGGACCAGACACTTTGGAGATTTCTTCCATTCTTGAAGGTCTATGATGCAACGATTCTCCCGCTGCGAGCTCCCCCACCCCACCCACTGCACCTCGCCAGGCTGTCTCTCCTGTAGGGTCAGGCTCCTCTCTGCTGAGAACCTTCAGGTGTCTAAGGTCTGGGGCCAGAACTTCCCATTCATTCACTCATTCACTCATTCATTCCGCAAGCCATTCTGGATACCCCTCTGTGCTAGGCACTGAGGCCCTGATGTCAAGCGGAGTGGGCCTGCCTCAGAGGAGTTCACAGACTGATGGGAGCAGCAGATGTGCCAATCAAGAGCAATAACCAGTGTGACTTGTGCTGGGACACAGGGAACCACAGGGACTGTGGAAGCCCAAAGGAGACACTTTAACCTAGTGTGGGAGTCAGGGAAGGCTTCCTGGAGGAGGTAACACTTGAACTCTGCATTGAGGGATGAACATGGGTTTTCTGGGAATGGAGATGCACAGGGTGAAGGTATTCCTTAGTGGGGCCATGGATGTGTGTCCCTGACTGGGACCAGGTGGGAGCAGGCGTTCCTGGTTGAAGGCCCTGGAGAATCAAAGGCATGGGGTCATGAAGGTACCTGGTGTGATCAGGGATGGCTGAGCTTCAGTACGGCTGCAGAGAGAATTGGAGTGTGGCGGAACCCTTGGGAGGGGTAGCACCGAGTGGGTACTCACGGCACAAGCTCTCATCTTCATCCTCACCATGGGTACAGGTGCGAACGCCATCACAGACCCCACTGGCTGGAATGCAGCTCCTCTGGTCACGGCACAAGAAGCCCGTCCTGTTTGTCAGTGTTGTACAAGCTTGGGCTCCTGAATGGGCAGGGGAAGGCCCTGGAGGGTCAAGGGTGGTGCTCACAAGGACAAACCTTCCTCACCTGAGGTGCACGTGGAGCTGGCCTGAGGGGCCGGGCAGTGGGGAGGATGGACCCAGCACCGTCAATGGGGTTCAAGCCCCAGCTCTAGCCCCGCCCTTTGCCCGACCTTGGGCAGGTGACCTGACAACTCAGGTTGACTGCAACGTGGGGATCATAGCACACACACTGAGTGACTGTTGTGGGGAATAAATCAAAGCATCCCTGTGAAGAAACATAGAACAGGAAATGTGCACAACAAGTAATGGTTCTCAGGAAGTGGGGGTGGGCGGAGAGGAATAGTTCTCTCCTTTACTGAAAACTTCTATGCAGTGTCACAGGAAGCTTCTGAGGACAATGTTCCATTCAGTGATGTGGTTTTAATGGCGGAGGCTCTGGCACCAGGTTAGTGTCAGAAGAACTATATTTGGGCTGGCTGGAGGACCATACGTCACCACTCCTTCTATCTGGGCACATCTGCAGAGCACTTCCACATCTTTATTCTATAGTTCCCCAAACACCCCTGAGACCACGTTCTCATTAGCCCCCCCCCCCCCCCGCCAATATGGGAGCAGGAAAGGAATACCCACTCTTAGGACTGCCCCAAGGAATGAAAAGACAGAAAACTGGCCGGGTGTTGTGGCTCACACCTGTAATCCCGGCACTTTGGGAGGCCAAGGTGGGCAGATCACCTCAGGTCGGGAGTTTGAGACCAGCCTGACCAACATGGACAAACCCCATCTCTACTAAAAATACAAAATTAGCTGGGCATGGTGGTGCATGCTTGTAGTCCTAGCTACTCGGGAGGCTGAGGCAGGAGAATCACTTGAACCCTTGAAGCAGAGGTTGCAGCGATCTGAGATTGTGCCATATCACTCCAGCCTGGGCAACAAAGCAAGACCCCATCTCAAAAAAAAAAAAAAAAGAAAGAAAGAAAGAAAGAAAAACCCTGCAGACAAGTTAGGGGTGGGGGAACACCTTGGCCCCGCATCTGTATACGTGTGCATAATTGGGGTTGGAAGTTGGTTTGCGCATTTGTGTTTGCGCATGTGTGAATCACATCTCAGCCCCTGGGCTGCCTCAGCTAGTGTGTGTGTGTGTGTGTGAAGGGGGCAACTCCCAGGGGCACTCATGTTGACACAGACACACACAGATGCACACACATGCACACATGCTCGCACACAGACAGCTGCACCTACATGCACACTCACAGATACACAGACAGCAGATATGCACACACACACCGACACACACACTCTCACATAGACACGAACATCCATACACAGACACCTGCATCTACTCACAGACATGCTAAACACACAGAGTGCACACACAAACTCAGGACCGCAGCTGCTCATGCATTCGCATCCAGTTCAGGGCCTGTGTTCCTGCACCAGCAGGTAGAGCACTGTGAATCTCAGCCCCCACCTCAGCCCTCTAACCCACCCTGCCCAGCGGCAGAGCCATCCTTCAGAAAGATTCACCTGGTGACACTTATCCCCGCCTTCCTCCCCTTTCTGTGGCTCCTGGACTGTGACCTCGCTTCCTGGTGCAGCCTGTGAGGCCCTTGGCACCCGGCCCCACTTGTCACTCCAGCCCTTCCTGTTCGCTGGCCTCTTGCAGTCCCTCCTTCTCCTCCTGCTCCTCCCACCCCTTAGGGCTCCACACATGCATTCCCTGTGCCTGGGATGCTTTTCCTGGCATCCCCCTACAACTAGTACCCATTGTGCCTATCCTGACTCCTTGATGGGGCTAGACTCTCAGGGCTCCCAGAACCCTGCTGTAACATGTATTCATGTCTAGATTGCTCTCCAAAGAGTTAGCTCCATGAGGGCAGGCACTGTGTCCCGATCTTTCACCCCGGAGCTGGGGCTGCAGGCATGTGTGGGAGGTGACCCTGTCTCCCTGTGGTGAAAATGAACCCACAGATGGATAGCCCCACCCGGGATGGCCAGGCCAGGGGATGATGGGGAAGTGTAGGGACTGTGGGGCTGAGAAGAGGTTCCTAACCCAGCCTGGGGGTCCAGGAAGGCATCCTGGAGGAGGTGACATCAGAGCTGGGTCCTCTCAATAATCATGTCACAGATGTGCAGATGGAGGCTAAGAGATCGGCATAGTCAGTGTGCAGGTATCTGTGTTGTCTGTGCATGCACCTTAAGGAATTTGTCATAAGTCACCTGGTGGAGAAGCCAGGCAGGTCTCTCTGTGTCCCCCATATCCTCCCTGCTGGGTCTGACCCACCCTCTCTTGGCCGCTCTGACCTGGGGTTCGTGATGGGAGTCCGAGTGTGGTGACCAAGGCGATGAGGGCGGCCAGAGTTGCCAGGAGGAGCAGCAGAAAGGCAGAGAGGCAGGCCCCGCGGCGCGAGCAGCAGAGGGGGCCGCAGCCTGCTGCGGGGAACAGGGAGGGAAACAAGCCCGGGGGGGGGGGGTCGTGATGGGGGGGCCAGAACTGGGAACAGTGAACCCCCTCCCTGTCCTGCCCCTGTGAGCAGCCCTTCCCCCACCAGGGTGAGCAGAGCTGGGAGGGCTTCCCTGGAGGAGCAGCTCCCAAGCCCCGCTTGATGCTCTTTGTTCTGCCTGTGGGCCCACCCCACTAGGTGCCACCCTGGCCAGATGCCCACAGCTAACTGAATGGCAGAGGTGGACAGCTCTCCCCGCCCACTCGCCATCAGGAGACCTCCTCAGGACGCAGGGAGAGATGGACGCCTGCATGTCCAGCCCCCACCACGGGGCAGACGCTCCATCAGGCCCTTCATAACTGTGGTCTTTATTTTTCAAAACAACCTTTTATTTGATCTATGAGGAAACTGGGGCTCAGAAAAGAAAAGGTTCAGGTAACCCAGGGTGGAGCTGGCATGTGAATCCACACCTGTGTGATGCCACAATGCATGCCCTTTCCACAATCCCCACTGACTGTCCGTTCTGGAGTCTGCTGGGATGCAGGTTGGAATCCCAGTTCCACCAGTTCCTACCTGAGCCACACTGAGTAAGTCACTTCACTTCTCTGCACTTCAGTTGCTTCATGTGGGAAATGGGGACCGTAATAGCTACCTTAAAGTTTGCTGAAAGGATTAGAATTTGTTGAGTTAATGTGTTAGAACAGTGCTTGGCACATAGTAAATGATGAATATGAGCTATTATTATTGCTTAAAAAAATTTTTTTTTAATTTTAGAGATAGGGTCCGGCTCTGTTGCCCAGGCTGGAATGCAGTGGTGCAATCATAGTTCACTGCACACTCTAAGTCCTGGGCTCAAACAGTCCTCCTGCCTCGGCCTCCCAAAGTCCTGTAACAGCTGCGCACTGCTGTGTCTGGGCTGTTATTGCTTGTTGAGGACTTGCCACGTGCCAAGCTTTATTCTAAGCACTGGAAATCACAGTGATAGGGGATGTCCCTGCTCTTGTAAAACTGTACTTTAATTCTCTCCTGCTTACAAAATAATAACAGAAGCCTTTACTAAGGACCTCCTGGTGCCCCGCTGTGTGGCTCCAGCTCTGGTCCTTGCCCTCTGCAGCTTGTTATTGCACTTAGAAGGCAAAGCATGGACATGTCTGAAGGAGCGTGGGAGCTACTGACCTGCCCAGGCCACAGGTACCTCAGAGAAAGGGGCAGGGGCAGGTATGATTCACCCTGTGACCCCAGGACCCAGCCCAGAGCCAGGCACATGGTGGGAGCTTTTTTTTTGCGGGGGGGTTCTTTTTTTTTGAGATGGAGTCTCGTTCTATTGCTCAGGCTGAAATGCGGTGGCATGATCTCGGCTCACTGCAACCTCTGCCTCCCAGGTTCAGGAGATTCTCTTGCCTCAGCCCCCCAAGTAGCTGGGATAACAGGTGGCTGCCACCACATCTGGCCAAGTTTTGTATTTTCAGTAGAGATGGGGTTTCACCCTGTTGGCTAGGCTGGTCTCCAACTCCTGACCTCAGGTGGTCACCTACCTTGGCCTCCCAAAGTGCTGGGATTACCGGTGTGAGCCACCGTGCCAGGCCCAGAGATTTGTGAACACTCTGTGAATATGCTAGCCCAGGGGTCCAGGAGACAAGGGAAGGCCCCCACTATGGGTCAGTTATTTTCAATCCATTCACATTTCTGATGCAGGGTCCTCAGAAGCCGGGTGGGATTTCCACAGGCAGGTAAGGGAATGGTGCAAAGAAAGGGGCTTCCAGGCAGAGGGCGTGGCAAGTGGAAAGGTCTGGTGGTTGCAGGTGGGGGAGCACAAGTGGCCTGGCGTGGCGGGGCTCCAGGATGGATGTGCGCTGGGAGGGATACGATGGTATTCAAGGCAGCAGGAATCTAAAACCCCGTCATCCCTACAGCCCTAGCTGGTGGCTCTGTGGCCGTCAGCAAACAGGGTAAACTCAGGTAACCAGGGAGGCAGCGTGACTCTGGGCAGGGAGAGGTGTGCCGGTCAGCCAAGCAGCTCCTCAAATATTTGTGCAGCACAGACCACGTGCAAGATGTTGCCACGGGAGAACCGGCAGAACCAAGGCTCCTGCCCAGGTGAAGCTGTTGCGCTTCAAAGCCAGAAAGCCCTTAGGTGCCAGTCCCTTCCCTGCACAGATGAGGAAAAGGAGGCTATTCTTGCCACAACCACACCCGTCATGAGTCAGGACTTGGAAAAAAACAAACACCGGTATGCGGCAACAAAAGCCCTGGGGCTTTGTAACCAGAGAGACCTCAGTTCACATTTGAACCCTGGCCCTCCGGCCTCCCCGCTGTATGACCTTGGCCTGGTTACCCAACTTCTCTTAGTTTCAGCTGCCTTATCTGTGATTGCCCCATGACAGAGCCCCTGTCTCAGAGCTGTCCTGGGGATTAAAGGGGCCATGCAGTGCCAGGCACATAACTGTACTGGGTCCTTTATAGTTGGTATTTTCATCTACCTCTCTGGGTGTGTCTCCTCATTGATCAAATGTGGGCCACGCCAGGGCATATACAATGCTCAATACATGTCTGTTTCTTCCTTCTATCTTCAGAAGGGTAAAGAGAACTGTTCTGGTCACACTGTGGGCCAGCGGCACATAGTAGGGCTAAATAAATGTGTCTCAGAGGTAAAGAGAATTGTCCAGGTCACCCACTGAGTCAGTTTGATGCTGTATTACAGGTGGGCACTGAATGCAGTTTGGTGCCTGTGAGGTCGGCAGCACACAGTAGGTGCTTAATAAATATGTGTGCATGGAGAGAATGAATAACCCTATTAAGCAAGTGACTGTCAGCATCTGACCAGGAAGCTGGGAGCAGACAACATTAACATGGGGCAGAGGTCTGAGGGGCAGCGGGAGCCTGGAATCCTCCAACCTTCCTCATGCCTCTATAGCCAACTGCCAGCTTCAAGGGAGCCCCACAGGGCACTGGCCCTGGGCCCTTCAGTTCTTTACCTTCCCCTCCAGGGAGGGCCTTGGGTCCAGCAGCAATGCGGCCATTCTCTCCCTGCCCAAGAGAACAGAGTGAGGGGTGGGCTTAGGTGAGGTGAGGTCCAGCCTCAGGGAGGCAGACAGCAGGGCTTTCAGAAGGGGTCACCGAGAGTCTTCGGTGGCACCGTGGCTCCCTCACACCCCAGCACGCTCAACGCCCCAGATGCCTCATGCCGGCTTCCCATTTCCACACCTTTGCCTGCACTGGGCCCTCTGTCTGGGGCGCCTTTTCCTCTGCTGTCCACCTGGCAAATATTCATCCTTCAAACTGGCGTGGGCAGCGACTCCTCGGTGAAGCTTTCCCTGATACCCAGTAAAGCTAACGCTCTCCCTTCCTGTCCACCCGGCTCCTCTGTGTCCGTCCCAGCACTTGCCACCTGGACTCTACAGCTGGGTCACTGGTAGGGCCCCCTACACCCTGGGAGTGAGCCCCGGGCCAGGACGGGGGCTGATTTTCCTCCATGTCTCCCATGTATGCCCACTCTCTACTGCCCACACTCCTCATCCCAAGGTTTGCTCTCCCAAGATCAGGAGCCTGGTCCAGGCAGCCCTTACCTCGGGGAAGACCTTGTTCATGTCTTCGGCTTTCAGCTCCCTGACTGGGGCTGTGTGCAGAGAGCTCAGCATGGGTTCCCTGCCTTGTCACCAGGGGCAGCCTGGAGGAGGGACAGGCAGGAGCTTTGCCTGGGCCACACCCTCCCTGTGGGCAGCCCCCTCCCTCCCAGCTGCCTTCCAAGCAGAGGCAAGGGCAAGAGGGCCCTGCTCTGGCCAGGCTGTTTCCTTCTCTGCCGTCTGACAGCAACACTGCGAGGCTGGAATCCTCATCCCCATCCACAGATGAAGAGCCAGAGGTTCAGAAAGGGAGAAACTGCCCCAGGTCGCACAGTAGGTGGGAGGGGTGAAACCCAGAAACTTTTCAAGAGTGCTTTTTCCTCCGCATCAGCGAGAGAACCGGAGGAGCTCTGGTTCCAGGGGGATGAAGATGCAGGTAGAAACTCCCGGAATTAACATTTCAGTGGCTAGAAAGCAGGGGTCATTTTCTCATTGCTGTTCTTTCTGTTAAACAACACAGGTAATCCAGATTGAAAGAATATGCACTTTCCGCTAAAAGTATAAAGCAAATATAACTTTAAATTATTTTCTTTAGAAGTGTGGCAATGTGAATTTTTACTGTCCCTGAGGTGGCACCCGAAGTAGGGAAGAGGAGGGGGGCTGGTTGCTTGCCTGAATAACCCCTTCTACGCTCCCAGTGAGTGGGTTTCCCTAGCAGCCTGTCCCACTGCTGAGTAAACCTGGAAGCTTGAGGGCCAAGTCCAATGACCCAGACCAAGAAAGGAGAGATGGCTACCTCCAGAAATGAGCTCAAGAGTTCTAGGGAGGATCCCCTTTCACCTGCCTCTGACGCCCATAGATTTTCCAACCTGCAATCAGCCTTTTCTTTTGCTTTGGGAAATAAAATGCTGAATCCATGTGGGTGCAAGTAGGAGGGGCAGGTGCAGGGGCAGCCCTTGGGAGGCAGCAAGTAACACTGCGCAGAGCTGACACCTAGACCAGGAGAACGGGGCTCTCAGTAGGGCCCTACCACTGGCTCTGACTTGGGCAATTCACTCCCCTTCCTGTGCCTCCGATCCTTCATCCATAAAATGAAGATATAAACCAGATGAAGGGGGTGTTTTAGTTTAGGATTCCCCAGAATCAGACTCTAAGACAATATTCGAGGGCAAGTAGATTTAACTGGGAGTGATCCCAGGAAACAGTGGTCGGGGAATGAGGGAAATGAGACTGGAAAGAGAAGGATCCTTAAACGCAGGTTCCTGCTGTGGGCAAGTGGAGTTCAGCCCTGTTGGGGCCCTCGGGGAAGCCAGGGGCAAAGATGCACCTCAGTGATCCCTCTCAAGGTGGGGGGAACTGGGGTATTAATCTGCCAGCTCCTGCCAGTCTTGGTTGAGAATGGCCAGAGGAGGCCAGGCATGGTGGCTCACACCTGTAATCCCAGCACTTTGGGAGGCCAGGCAGGTGGGTCACCTGGGAGTTCGAGACCAGCCTGGCCAACGTGGTGAAACCCTGTCTCTACTAAAAATACAAAAAATTAGCCAGGCGTGGTGGCAGTGCCCATCATCCCTCAGGAGACTGAGGCAGGAGAATCGCTTGAACCTGGGAGGCAGAAGTTGCAGTGAGCCAAGATTGCACTCCAGCCTGAGCAACAAGAGCGAAACTCAGTCTCAAAAGAAAAAAAAAGAAGACTAGCCAGAGGGTGTTAATTCCTTGCAATGGGCTGCCTTAGGCAAGGAGATGCCAGTGTTGGCAGCTTGCCCGCTGCACATTAGGCTGCTATGTCCTGAAATGGAAAGGGTTGAAAGCATGGGCAGGCACCCATGGTCCCTGCTAAAGACACTAACTAGATTTTATTTGGCATGCCAACTACAATTGATTGGAAAAAGCTCTCTGGAACATGCAGCTCAGAAGGATTCTGAGGTCAGGACTGTGACTGACTATAGATGCCTGCCATGGGTGGAAGAGTGAAGAGAGGTATCAGACATGATGACCATTTGCCATTCCAGGACCTATTAATGCCCTTCAGCCTCTGGCCTTCCTTGACTCTGATTCTTAAGTGTTCCTTTATAAAAAGACTCCTCAGGGCTGTGAAATGCCTTTTTATCCATTGAATCCAGGTACAGCCACATAAAACTGTGCTGAAAGCACTGTGTCTCTCCAGGGTTCAAGCTGCCACCAAGAACCCTTGAGGGAAGGGCAGCAGGGGGCCCGGTGAGATGAGGGAGAGGCCCTGGTGCTTCAATCCCTGAACGTCTTGGAATCATATCCCCTGTGGTTCACAGTCTCACTCTCAAGGGGAAGGAATGGATGGAAGGGAGGTAGCTATTACTTATTGATCAGCTGCTATGCTTCAAGCACTACACCAGCTGCCTTGATCCTCACAACTCTGTAAGATAGGTAATTGCTGGAAACAGATGCTTGGTGCTGCAAGGAAAAGTCAGCACTGGGACAAAGGATCTCTCAGCAATCTTTACTTACTGGAGAAAGGGTAACTCGGCCAGCAGTCTTGCCATGAGAGTACAATCAACAAAGAAAAAGCAGACATATTTATCCTTTACCCAATTGGGATTGTCCTTATTGCTGTGTCTGATTTCCATTGGCTGGAGCCAGACTTCACAGTCTAAACCTGAACCTGATTGGCTACTAACTTAAAACTTTCTTGAGTAGGTAAAGGCCATGGAGAACAAAAGGAAAAGAGGAAGTCTAAATAAGGAAAGGACAAGAAGTTGCTTGTGAAAGGACTTAGAAAAATAATAGCATAAACATCTTGGTTAAATTACAAGGACATAGAATGTACTATGTGCCTGTGAGCATGTCTAACGGCTACATAGGATAAGGCTTAACAAAGAGTTATTAGCAAAAAGCAAGAAGGCTTTGAAGAAAGTCTTTAAAACAAATTATTATTGCTGACACTTATGATTTATTCTTTAAAAAGAGAGGAAACTTTGAAGAGGAAGTTTTCTACTTCCCACAGTAATATTATTACACCCAGTTAACAGATGTGGAAACTGGGTTCAGAGATTAAGTAACTTGCCCAAAGCCACACAGTGAGTAAACGGCAGAGCCGAGATTTCAACCCAGGTCCATTTTGACTCCAAGCCTGTGGACCTACAGAGTTGATTCACACTCCTTCCGTTGTGGATGAGTTTCTGTTGATTACATCTCTGTTGACATTTAGTACCATCAGTCTTACTGACTTCCACCAGCCTGACAACTGAAATACCATCAGTGGCTCACCGCTGTGAGGATTTGCAGTCCTCTTTTGCTTAACCTCAGATGCGTCTCTTTCTAAAGCAGGGAAAGGCTGGATGCTGTGGATTGCACCTGTAATGCCAGCACTTTGGGAGGCTGAGGTGGGTGGATCACTTGAGGTCAGGAGCTCAAGACCAGCCTGGCCAACATGGTGAAACCCTGTCTCTACTAAAAATACAAAAATTAGCTGGGCGTGGTGGCGCATGCCTGTAATACCAGCTGCTTGGGAGGCTGAGGTGGGAGAATTGCTTGAACCTGGGAGGTGAAAGCTGCAGTGAGCTGAGATTGTGCCACTGTACTCCAGCCTGGGTGACAGAGCGAGACTGTCTCTAAAGAAATAAATAAATAAAGCAAGGAGAATGGTGAGTGCTGGATAGAGAGTTCTAGCAGCAGCTTAAGGCAATGCCCATGTGAGAGTTAGCAGAGGAAACTGAGAAGAGTGAAAACAGGGCTGCCAGAGTCCCTCAGGGAAACTCAGAACTTGAATCAGCAGAACCAAAGGGACCTCAGGCTCAGGGAGCACAATGACCTCATTTTACAGAAGGGGGAACTAAGGTCTGGAGAGAAGAGGAGACTTGCCCAAGGCCATACAGTGGTCAGTGCCCTAGCACAGCGAGCGTGCCTTCCGCCGCAGCAGATGACTTCAGGAACATCGGCATGTGCAGCACCAATTATTTTTAGCCTCACTTTCTCTCTTGCCTAAGGTAGAGGCCCCAGGCTGCCAACCTGGTGTGTCCCAGCAACAGCTCCTGAAGGGCACTGTTCAGACGCTGGGCGCACGTTGTCCCCGCCTCTACCGTCTGCTCTCTCTCTGGTTAGGCAGAACTGACAGCAGGGGCTTTCATTGCCTGTTCTTGTCCTAGTAGGAGGCAGTTGTTGGGATGGTTATACCATGAAAATTAAGGGCTTGTGCTGCATTAAACAACTTCCACCTCCACCCTGCTGGGCCCTGGGCCTTGACTGGGACCCCTGGGCCAGGGCTGGGTAAACTTCTAGCTAGAGCACAAGTTTTGGAGCTGATAGTCCAAATGGTCCCACCACTAGCTGAGTGATCTTGGCTGGGTCACTTAACCTCTCTGAGCTTCAACTTTCCCATCTACTACTCTAAACTTCTTTTCCCTTGTTCCTGAAGAAAGGGAGGACAGGAGATCCTACCCCACTCCATGGGGTAGGATCCTCACCCAACACCACGCCAAGCTCACTCTCTTCACCTATTCCATCATCCTTCTCCCCGCCAGCCCCCCAGAAAAATATTTCAAAACCTTAAGAAAAATATGGAAAGGTAGGAAGAATAACGTAACAAATAATCAGGAATCCACCGAGTTAACTAAAGTTAACATGCGGTCATTTTTGCTCCAGATTTTTTTCTGTTAAATACAGCAATATTGAGGGCCTCTGTTTTTCCCCAGTTGTACCTCCTTTCCTCCCTCTCCGGAGTTAATCGCTTTCCTGAGAATGCCACGTATTCTTCAGTAACTGGTTTGTATATTTTTAACACATCGGTATATATGCACAAAAAATATGTAGTGCTGCCTTTACTGCTTTTTCAAAACATTGACATATATATCACCTTAGTGTACATATCTCCCTTGCTCTTTACACACATGCACACAGAGAGAGACACATCTGGTGTACATCTCTCCTGCTTTACACACACACACACACACACACACACACCCCTAGAATCATAGTGTAGGAGCATCTTCAGTTCCTCCAGATCTTGCCAAACTGCTCTGCAAAGGGAGTGACCTTGCACTCCCATCAGTAGTATGTGAGAGTTCCTGTCTCCCCAGTCTCACCAGCTCTGGAAATTGCCAGACTTCCTGACACCCGCCAGTCTGGTAGGTGTGGAATGGAATGCGGCTTAACTTTCACTTCTCTAGTTAGTCCTGTTGCCACCACCAACTGCTAACATTTATGGCGTTCTTCACTTTGTCACAGAGTGTACTATATGCTTTATGTATAGTAACACATTCTGTCCGCCATAGGAGATAGGGACTATTATTATTTCCATTTTACGCATGAGAAAACTGAGGCACAGAGGCATGAAGTTATTTGCCCATGATTTGCAGCCACAAGATGGCAGAGGCAGAATTCAGACCTGGCTTGCAGAAGAATTCACTCCTATCCTTACCTACAAATTCGCTCTTACTCTCACTACTCAAAAATGTGGCCAGTGAATCAGCAGCGCCCACATCACCTGGGAGCTGGTTAGAGATGCAGATTCCCAGGTCTCCTCAGAGACCACACCAGAATCTGCATAGTGACAAAATGCCTAGGAGATTCGAACACTATGCAGCCATAAAAAAGAACCACCCCTACCCTATGTTGTTATGCAGCTCCTTTTAAAATACACTGGTCACGTGGATTTCCTCCCTCGTGAGTTGTCTTTTCATATCTGTTGCCCATTTTCTGTGGGTGGTTTGTCTTTTCCCTATGGATTTACAGATTTCTTTATGATGGATTTGAATCATTTGTTACATGGGTTATAAATATCTCTCCCAGTCTGTGGCTTGTCACTTCTTAGGATGACTTCCGCTGGCTCCCTTAGTTTTCTAAATCCATCGTTCTTGCCCAGAAGCCTTCCTTGCCTTTGCTATACCTATATTCTTTATGTTCTGTGTCTCCACCTTAGCCTGGCTGTGGCTAAGGAAGAGTCACTGGACATGAAATCAGCAAACCCAAGTTTGAGTCAGACCGACCTGGGTTTTCATCCTGACTCTGCCAAATTAAGACCTATCTAATTGAAGGTGGGAAGCTTCAGACTCTCTCATTATGTTCTCTTATTTGAAACATGAAGATAAGAATACTCAATTCAAAGAGTGGTAGTTGGGATTGAGTGCACATGTGTGAAAGTGCTCTGCATCCTTTAAGGGTGGAATATTGTTTCTGGATGCCTTGGTCTGTTTCCCATGACAGAGATTGACCTGGGCACCTGAGAGATCTGCTTCTAGACCGGCCTAGAGGTGAGGCCCAGATGCTGCCTCAGCATAAATCACTTCCCTATCCCTCCCACAAGTCTGGGATCCTGGCTGGCTGACTCACCTGTTTTCTCAACTATACAATATATGTGTTAAACCCCATCCTGCTTTCCTAGATGGCCCACTTATAAGTGAGAACATGTGGTGTTTGATTTTCTGTTCCTGTTAGTTTACTAAGGATAATGGCCTCCAGCTCCATCCATGTCCCTGCAAAGGACATAATCTTGCTCTTTTTTATGCCTGCATAGTACTCCATGGTGTATCTCTACCACATTTTCTTTATCCAGTCTGTCATTGATGGGCATTTGCGTTGATTCCGTGTCTTTGCTATTCTGAATAGTGCTGCAATAAACATATGCATGCATGTGTCTTTATAATAAAATGATTTTTATGTTCCTTTGGGTATATACCCAGGAATGGAATTGCTGGGTTGAATGGTATCTCAGACTTTAGCATTTTAGGTCTTCAAGGAAGACACTGTCTTCCACAATGATTGAACTAATTTACACTTCCACCAACAGTGCATAAGCATTCTTTTTTCTCCACAACCTCACCAGCATCTTTTTTGACCATTTAATAAGTCACTCTATGAGATGGTATGAGATGGTATCTCATTGTGGTTTTGATTTGCATTTCTCTAATGATAGTGATGTTGAGCTTTTATTTGCATGCTTGTTTGTGGCATGTATATATTCTTTTGAGAAGTGTCTGTTCATGTCCATTGCCTACTTTTTAATAGTTTTTTTTTTTTGTAAATTTGTTTAATTTCCTTATAGATGCTAGATATTAGACCTTGGTCAAATGCATAGTTGGCAAATATTTTCTCCAATTCTGAAGGTTGTCTGTTTACTCTGTAGATAGTTTCTTTCACTGTGCAGAGCTCTTTGGTTCAATCGGATCCCATTTATCAATTTTTGCTTTTATTGCAATTGCTTTTAGTGTTTCCATCATGAAATCTTTGCCTTTGCCTATGTCCTGAATGGTATTGCCTAGGTTGTCTTCCAGGGTTTTTATAGTTTTGGGTTTTATACTTAAGTCTTTAATCCACTAGATGGATGTTATAAGAATCCATTTAAGATGACACATGAGAGTGCTACAAAGGGCTTTGCAAATGTCATGGGGAATCAACAAACCCTGCTGTGAATTACCTACGTAGACACTTTGACAAGATAGCATTATTGTTTAATGCAGATGATCCAAGTTTTATTAAAGTTTACATACTTAAGCATAAAGAAATTTACAGATTTGGAGCTCCAGTAATGGTGGCATGATGGTGCACCTGGAGGTAACATTATCAAGAGCTTCTGTTGAAACCTTTCATTTTCAATTGGGTGCTTATTTTTTTCCACCCAAGTCTTCAATTATTGCAGTTCTAACACTGCAAAAACAATTTGAGCATAAAAAGCAGACAAGAGGCAGTAAAATAAGCCCAAATAATTTAGAATTGAACAAGAAAACAAAATCATTTACTCTTAAAATGATAAAAGTAAAATTAAGACAACCTCTAAACCAGGGGTTTGGTGAACTTGAATAGGAAAAATTTTAAATCTTTCTTTTCACCAACTTCTAACTGAAATATAACATTTCCTTCAATTATGAATATAGGAAACAGTCCACAGTAGGATCCGAGTACCTGTGACTTTGTCACCAGTAGAAATGAGACATTAAGATGTATTACAGTTGGGCCGGACGTGGTGGCTCACGCCTATGATCCCAGCACTTTGGGCGGCTGAGGTGGGTGGATCACGAGGTCAAGAGATCGAGACCATCCTGGTCAACAAGGTGAAACCCCGTCTCTACTAAAAATACAAAATAAATTAGCTGGGCATGGTGGTGCATACCTGTAATCCCATCTACTCGGGAAGCTAAGGCAGGAGAATTGCCTGAACCCAGGAGGCGGAGGTTGTGGTGAGCCGAGATCGTGCCATTGCACTCCAGCCTGGGTAACAAGAGCAAAACTCTGTCTAAAAAAAAAAAAAAAAAGATATATTACAGTTGTTAGATATTTCAAAATATTAATTTGAAATTACAGTAGTTTTAGAACCACCATGCAATCTTATTCCGTGTTAATAAAGTACATATGTTACTGTATCATACCATTTTGAAAAGTATCTTCACTTTATTTGAATATGATCAGTTTCCTTTGTAATCCTTTATATTCAGTTTTACGCATTTGAAAACCTTGCTATGAGAGGGATCCACAGGCTTCACTGGATCACCAAAAAGTTCAGTGGTACAAAAAATGTTCAGAACCTCTGCTTGAGGCAAATAAGTCATTAATATCATAGGAAGAGAGTACTTAATAGTGAAATAGGAGAGGCATGGTGGTTCACACCTGCAATCCCAACACTTTGGGAGGCTGAGGCAGGCAGGATCACCTGAGGCCAGGAGTTTGAGACCAGCCTGGACAACATGGCAAAACCCCGTCTTTACTAAAAAATACAAAAATTAGCAGGGTATGGTGGCATGCACCTGTACTACCAGCTCTTTGAGAGGGTGAGGTACAAGAATCACTTGAACCTGGGAGGTGGAAGTTGAAGTGAGTAGAGATTGTATCAGTGCACTCCAGCCTGGGTGACAGAGTGACACTGTGTCTCAAAAAAAAAGAGAAATATATGAAGCTGACTTCAACAGTAAGATTTCAGAAAAGGTCTAAAAACTGTGGTTCAGAATTTAATTACCGTAAGGAGTTAGAAAATCCACACTACAATCCAGCTTCCCAAACAGAAGACTGCATTTCCCACTATCCCTGTCTTTATCACTGCACATACACCCACCCTAGACACTAGTGTAGGACAAATAGTCAAGGAAAGAGAGGTTAAAAGTCACTCATGCAGATGATAACCCAAATGCAAGCATGGCATGCTTAGGATCTGGAAACCTGGTGGGAGGGGTGCAAGAGCACGCTGGGTTCCTAGAGATTGGCTGGCAAACCTAGAATGAAAGGACAGTGGTAAGAAGCCAGGTATCCATGGGGCAGCCTTCCCAGTTTGCTTGGCAACATTCAGACTGGGACCAGGACTCAGAGACCAGTCCTAGGTTTACCATGCAGACAGACAGCAATGTGGGGTAACAGAGAGAGCGTTCTAGAGAAAAGTTTAAAACTATAAGTAAAATGAAAGGAAATAGTATTCTTGGGTATTAAAAAAAAAAAAAGAACTCTGAGGGTAAGCTTATTGTTGGCCTCTGGACTTGCCCTCTCTGTTCTATCTTCCATGCTGCTGAGTGAATCATTCCAACACTGTATAGAACACTCTTGCTGAAACCTTTCAATGGCTCTCTGCTGTGCTCAGGATCAAGTGCAGGCTGAAAAAGGTCCTTTATTATCTGGTCTGCCTATCCCATCTTTTGGTCTGCTTTTGTATGCTCTATCTTGGCCTCCTCAACAATCTACAGTGTTCCACCCTCTGGCCTCTAGGTCTTTGAGCACAGCGTCCCCACTGTCTGGTACACTGCTCTCTGTATTTTGCTTGGCTTTCCCTTTTTCTCCAGGTTTAAGCTTGGCTATCACTTTCTCCCAGAAGTCCTCCTATGTGCTCCCATAACGCACACAGCTCCAACTATGTGTCTGTGCTTATTGAGTCACAGCGCTTTTCACACTAATAGTAGTCTCCTTTAGTGTCTGAGCAACTGGAGTCAGGCACTGGGTCTTACTGTGGTCCTAGCATTTAGCAGACGGCCTGCTGCTCAGGTTCTCAAGTGGTTGTTGAACAGTTGAACTGTGGATCTATAAAGGCACAGCTGAGCAAAATTACTGTGGGGTGGTGGTGCCAGTAACTGGAAATCTGTCGATGATTCCTTACATGTGGACTTGATGTTTGAGTCCACGAAAATTATAATGGAACTACTTTATATATTTAAAAAAATCCTAACAAAAATGGCTCATTTATCTAAGATAAATCCAGACAGACTAATAACAAGGGGTAAATTGTCTGCTTCTGGCTCGAAGATAAGCTCAGACAGTGCAGGGTTTTGTGCTGATCAGTGGCTCAGATTGCCTAATGATGCACCACAGGGATTTCTGAGATAAGACTGACCAGATAATCTAGTAATTTTCGATTTACCACAAAATATATCATAAATGAAAGGTGCCTGTGAAGTTTTGCAAAAAAACTTTGGAATCTGGACCTAGATCATTCATTCTGGTGATTAGTACTGCCTGAGTTAGCATGCCTCTTATATGAGGAACATGAACCAAGAAGGACCTTAGAAGTCTGGGAGATGTGAACCAGAGACCCTTGAGAATTTGCATAGGGCCAAGACCAGATTCTCAAGATGTTTTCTGTGTGGTAGCAAAGAAGATTATGACTGTTTGATGGAAACAAGGAACTAAGTTAGGCACATCCAAGAAGGGCCAAACTGCTACTTTAGGAGAAGGGGTTTTGAAGCTCAGCCTTTGTTGCTTTGGTTGGAAGAAACATTTTTATGCTGCATATATTTTGGGGATTTTTTTTTCAAAAGTAAAATCTTTTTTCTCAAAAGTAAATTATTCTTTGTTTCAGAATTTAATTACCACAAGAAGTCAGAAAATCAACACTACAATCCAGCTTCCCAAACAGAAGACAAAATTTCCCACTAACTCAGTCTTTATCACTGTACATACCCCAACCCTAGACTCCTGTGTAGAACAAGTAGTTAAGGAGAAATTAAAATGGTTACTTGTGTTGATAATATTCAAATGTAAACATCAGTCTGGCTTAATTATGCTAAAAAAGGAGACAAATATTTGAGTGCCTACTAAACATCAAGAATATCTTGATATATTTACATATAAGGAATTCTCTCAACAAGAGGGGAGATATTTGTCTAAAGTTGGATCAATACTTTCAAGAGAAGTGAAGGTGTATCTCAGGGACTTCTCATTCAGGAAGGAAAGAGAAATAAAACCAAGGGAAAGTGGAAGAATATAGGACAACTGTACAGTTGTTCCTTCTTTCCAGATTTTTTTTTTTAAAGAGATGGGAATCTCACTATATTGCCCAGGATGGTCTTGAACTTCTGGACCCAAATAATTTAGATAATTCTTTGTATTGTTTTGTTTTTATAAGGGAGGTTTTTTTTCTAACAGTGGGCTCTCTGACTCCTGTAATACAGCAGCATTTTGTATGTTTCTCCGTTTGCTTCATTGGATGCATTATAATTAAAACCGTGCCTGATTAAGGAACCAAAGTATGCACTAATGATGGGTGACAAAACAACAGGGCTTTCCTTATGTTTTTAACAGTAACTCCAATTCACTCCCCATGTTTTATATATAGTCCCCATGTTTGTTTCTGTTTTTTTGTACAGAGGGTCTTGCTATATTGCCAAGGTTGGTCTCGAACTCCTGACCTCAAGTGATCCTCTCACCTTCACCTCCCAAAGTGCTGGGATTCTGCTTCATTTCTGAGCAGAAGCATCATATTCTACTAAATATTCAGCTTATGCCTGGCTGAGTCCCCATGTTTTATCCCATGTTTTCTCACGAAAATAAGAAAGACACAATGACTGCTTGACAATGACTGCTAATTCTTCCTTTCTTTTCCATCTGGATGTGTTCACAACTTTCTCTATCATCCAAATCTAGACAAACTAAAAAAAACTTGTATTTTGTGACCTAAGTCTAACTTGATTAGCTGTCAACTGCTTTTTATTTGGACTCAGGAAGACTGAAGACTAGGCCATAGTGAGAGTGACTAACTTACTCTTCAGTTAAACAGCACTGATGGAGTTGTCAGCAATGCTCCTGTGTCTGAGGAAAGTATTGATTTACAAAGGTTTTAACATTTCATGGTATAACATTGAATGATATTAAGATTCTAGTGTATTATTATTATGACCTGATACCATTCTAATTTTAAGATCCCCTATCATTACAGGTAAAAATAACACTGGTTTTTGCCAAGTAAAATTTATACTTAATTCTGCATCACAAGAATCTAATTCTTAGTGTCAAAATGAAGTTTTATCTGAAAATATGTTGACCTTACACTTGATATGCTGTCTGACAGAGAAAAATAGTTATTTGGAAAGACTCATCCAACAAAAACCTATAGCCTGTGCAAAATAACATCAAATTTACTGCTGAGAGATCATTTTTGCATCAAAATGGTCCCTGACCATCACATTATATAGCAATAGACACAGAAGATTTCATAATTCTTTTCTAGGTTGGGCAGAGATAGGAAGGAAGGTTTAGAAAATCAGATACTCAAATTTCAGCACATAGTTATTCAAATAAAATTTTAATGATTTCAGTTCCTGAAAATGTAGTGTCATTAAAGGTCATTTCCTGCTAAATTTCAGATTACAGATTTGTGGGCCATTTCTGAGCAGAAGCATCATATTCTACTAAATATTCAGCTTATTAACTAAGGTAACTGACAGCATCATGACAGGAGGTGAGGAAGAACAATGATCAGCTCATAGCTAAGAAAAGGGAAAAAAACAAAAACCAAAGCAAAAAACAAAACAGCTACAGATATTAGTAAAATAATAACACAATCCCAAATATCCACCTCTTAAATTACTAGAAAAACAATACCCATAAAGTTATAGCAAATACAGTCTTCACAGATTTGAGTAACTTTATTTGCCTTTTATAGTGATTTCTTAAGGCCTATATCCAACGAAACCATTTTAAAAGCTCCATGAGGGGTGGAATTTTAGATGCCTATTACACTTTTCTTTTAAAAGAAAAATGCTTAAATTTCGGAATGAGCAAGATTCACTTTTGTAGGTAAAGGCCCTGCTTCTTCATGATCTTCAGTTTTAGATCTAACAACCACAAGAGAAGAAGCTGGATATCTGTTTAGCTTTTGTTCATTCATAAACTCCAAGTCACCATAGATACTCAGCTTCTGCAAAAGAAAACCAATGCAAATTAGTAGTTTGGATAATTAGGAACCTCTCCAAGTAAGTCTTTAAGTAACAACTTATAAATAGTTGGTAGAAAAAAAATCTATAAATATCTTTAAGAATGAAGAATGCTTCTACTCAAAATGTCGTAAATATATGATTCTGCTCCCAGTGGATGGCCAAAGAAAGCTTTTCCACATGTCTCAAGTTAAAATCCTCAGGAGTATAACAATTGAGTACCAAGAAAAGTAGCTAAGGATGCCTTATGTGATGGAATCCTTCAACAACTTAGCTCCCCTACCAAGTGGTAAAATAATTTGGTGCAACTTTTTCTGCTCCTAAATGTTTTAGCTTAACATATATGGAAAATGATAGATGCTATTTTAGAAGACTGTGAGAACAAAGCATATGCATGAAATGCGCTAACACTGATAGAAGGGTCTTCATAAATATATAGTTTCTCAATTGTTACTACCATATCCAAGAAGATACTAAAAGAATGAAAGCACACAACAGAATCACTGAAATTGTTATAAACTCTTTGGAGAATAATGGTCATATCTAATATCTTTTGAGAGTAGGCAGACTTAGATATATGTATGTATTTCTCTTTTTTTTTTTTTTTAAAGACAGGGTCTTGCTCTGTCACCAGGGCTGCAGTGCTGTGGTAGGATCATAGCTCACTACACGGCCTCAAACTCCTGGGCTCAAGTGATCCTCCTGCCTCAGCCTCCTGAGTAGCTAGGACTATAGGCATGTGCCACCATGCCCAGCTAATTTTTCTTTCTTTAATGATGGGGTCTTGCTAGGTTGCCTAGACTGGTCTCAGACTCCTGGCCTCAAGTGATCCTGCTACCTTGGCCTCCCAAAGTGTTGGGATACAGGTGTGAGTCACCATGCCTGTCCTTATGTATCTTAAAGGCAGAAAAGCAAAGTGAAAAGGCTTCACTAAGAAATGGCATAGGCCAGGCGTATGTAATCCCAGATGTCTGTAATCCCAGCACTTTGGGAGGCTGAAAGAAAGAGTACAGATTTTCTTTCTTTCAGGTGGATCACTTGAGATCAGGAGTTTGAGACCAGCCTGGACAACACGGTGAAACCCTGTCTCTACTAAAATTACAAAAAATTAGCCAGGTGTGGTGGTACATGGCTGTAATGCCAGTTACTCAAGAAGTTGAGGTATGAGAATTGCTTGAGCCTGGGAGGTGGAGGTTGCAATGAGCTGAGATCGCACCACTGCACACCAGCCTGGGGGACAGAGTGAGACTCTGTTTCAAAAAAAAAAAGGTATAGATTCTGTTAATAATCCACTCATATAGCAACAAATCCCTGTATCCATAAGGTAGAAACTGCAGTGCTGACATCACTGGCAAGGCAACTGACTCTATTATAAACCAAGAACTACACAGAAGTACCTGATACTGGAAAGATGTTTTTAAAAGATGCTGAATAAAGAACACCTTAAAGAGTTTATCAAAAGTGATACATGCTATACTGGCTGGGCATGATGGCTCATGCCTGTAATCCCAGCACTTTGGGAGGCTGAGGCAGGTGGATCAGCTGAGGTCAGGAGTTCAAGACCAGTCTGGCCAACATGGTGAAACCCCAACTCTAGTAAAAATATAAAAATTAGCTGGGCATGGTGGTGTGTGCCTGTAGTCCCAGACAGTTGGGAGGCTGAGGCAAGAGAACTGCTTGGGAGGGGAGTTTCACAGTGAACTGAGATCATACCACTGCACTCTAGCCTGGGCAATAGAGCCAGACTGTATCTCAAAAAAAAAAAAAAAAAAAAAAGAAAAAGTGATTAAGTGATACACGCATACAAGACGATGAACCCTGAAAATATTATACTTAGTGAAAGAGGCCAGTCACAAGAGACTACATATTGGCTATCAGGGCTGGAGAGTGAGGTGGGAGTAGGAGTGGGGGTGGTACTGCTGCTGCTGCTGCTTGGGAGAAACCAGGGAGCAATTACTAAGAGTATAGATTTTCTTTCTGGGCTAATGAAAATGTTCTAAAAGTGATTGTCATGATAGCTGCTTATTCAAACATGTTTCAGATGTGGTCTACTGCACGGTTGTCTCAGGGCAGCAGCCATCCTGCAAGGAGGTGCCCCAGTATCCTATTCTTTTCCAGTAAGAGAGTAACTTTAAGACAAGTTCAGGCTGGGCATGGTAGCTCGCACCTCTAATCCTAGCACTTTGGGAGGCCAAGGCAGGCGAATCGCTTGAGGTTAGGAGTTCAAGACCAACTTGGCCAACACAGTGAAACCCCATTTCTACTAAAAATACAACAACAAGCCAGGTGTGGTGGCGGGCGCTGGTAGTCCAGCTGCTTGGGAGGCTGAGACATGAGAATCGCTTGAACACAGGAGGCAGAGACTGCAGTGAGCTGAGATAGACAAGTTCAGTGGTTGATGGGTTGAACATGGATCTGATATAGCAGGCCTCCTTAAAACTCAGAATTCACATGTGACTACTGGCTCTGGGACATTGTGAAAAAAAAAATGTTTACAACTCTACCTAACAATATTTAAAGATCTTGAAACAGCAACCAGGAACTGGTTGATTTCATACATCAACATGGAAGAAGCCATCATAGGGGAGGAAGGAGACTGAGATGTCAGGTAAAGGACACAAAATTTCAGTTACATAGAAAGAAAAGGTGTAGGAGATCTTCTGTACAACATGGTGACTATAATTAGTAACAGTGTATTGTACACCTGAAAACTGCTAAGCAGAGTAGATCTTAAAATGTTCTCCTCAGCTGGGCCTGGTGGTGCACACCTGCAATCTCAGCACTTTGGGAGGCAACGGCGGGTGAATCATCTGAGGTCAGGAGTTTGCAACCAGTCTGACTAACATGGTGAAACCTCATCTCTACTAACACACAAAAAAATTAGCCTGTGTGGTGGCACATGCTTGTAATCCAAGCTACTTAGGAGGCTGAGACAGGAGAATCGCTTGTACCTGGGAGGCAGAGGTTGCAGTGAGCTGAGACTCTGCTATTGGACTCCAGCCTGGGCAACAAGACTGAAACTCCGTCTCAAAAAAAAAAAAAAAAAGTTCCCACCATCCCACCACAAAAAATGGCATGTTAGGTAAAGAGTATGTTAATTAGCTTGATTTAGACATTCCATAATGTATACATATATCAAAACATCATGCTGTTTACCATAAATCTGTACGATTTTTGTCAGTTTAAAAAATTAATTAAAGCTGGGCGCAGTGGCTCACGCCTGTAATCCCAGCACTTTCGGAGGCTGAGGCAGGTGGATCATGAGGTCAGGGTGGATCATGAGGTCAGGAGTTCAAGACCAGCCTGACCAAGATGTTGAAACCCTGTCTCTACTAAAAATACAAAAATTAGCTGGGTGCGGTGGCAAGCATCTGTAATTCCAGCTACTTAGGAGGCTGAGGCAAGAGAATCGCTTGAACCTGGGGGGCAGAGGTTGCAGTAAGCCAAGATCATGCCACTGCAATCCAGCCTGGGTGACAAAGTGAGACTCCATCTCAAAAAAAAAAAAAATTAATTAATTAAAAAGAAGAAGAATAAGGAGAAAATAAAATCTGTACAGAGAAGTGGATGGGATTATATGAATAATCTAACTAGTGTGTATAGTGATTTTGTGGCTACCAGGTAAACTGAGATTATCAATCAAATGAATACAACAGAGATGTTCTCCAAAGTGTGTTAACTTAGGAAGTTTACCACCCAAATATTCTTTATGAGAACAATTACTTAAGGAGGTATTCCAACAAAAGAGGAATCCCTGAAAGAAAACAATATAGAATACAAAAAACAGCAGCAGTTCAGTTGACTCAGAAAACAGGAAGAAAGCTACACCAAAGGATCCATTAAGTGGAGGTACTGAGGAGTCTCCTGTAAAAATCTTTAAACAATTCAGGTTTATATTTGCTTTTATATGACTCTAATAACCAATCACAGTATTTGGTTCCACTGTGAATATTTGCATAGTTATAATATTGTAAGTGCTTTCTACTGGATTTTAATTTTTCAAATCAACCTACGGACAAAGTATGGAAGTGTAAATTCAGAAGAATTTATATTTTACTGTCAAGGGTCATAATAATAATAAAAATTGAGACACAGAGTATGGGAAGAAATAGGAATGTATAGGCAGTGACGAAGTGTCAACGGAAATTTATAAAGTGATCACAGAAAGTATATAACCTAATAATACACATTACAAAAACCAGAAAGTGAAGAGAGGATGAGGTGGGAGATAATGTAAAGGGACTAAATTCCTTATCCTTCAGGAGGAAGATATGACATAATATCTAAAGTTGATAAAACAAAAAAATAGAATATAACATTTAAAAATAACTACCTGGAGAATTTTTTAAAACTACTGACTGGTTTATCTAAGGAGTGAGGAAGAAGAAGACAATTTTATGCCATATTTATGCATGAATTCTGAAAGTTTAAAATAAATTCAATGAGTAAATATGTACTTCGGCTTTAGGCCTGGCTTTGCCATTAACTAGTTATATGAACTTGGTTGAGTTACTTAAATCTTTCCTAAAACCCAGTTTAACAGAATTTGGATTATTTTCTGATGGTCTATGTCTGCTATCAGACTTAAAGGTTTCTCCTAAATGGCAAGGTTCTTGGTCTTATTCTTCATTGTCTTTTGAATACGGCCAGGTACATAATAGGTTATACATAAATATATGTGATTTATTAACTTAAATGATATTAGGAGTTTATTTATTTGCTTTCTTTTTTAGACACAGGGTCTGTATCTGTCAAGAGATCCTCTGGCCTCAGCCTCCCGGGTAGCTAGGACTACAGGCACACACCACCATGCCTGTCTGATTTTTTCTTTTAATTTTTTGTAGAGATAGGCTCTTACTATGCTGTCCAGGCTGACCTCAAACTCCAGGCCTCATGTTTTCTTTCTGATTTTAGGGGGGAAAAAAAAGTGAGTTTTTGGCCAAGAAAACCTGAATAACTTTTAGTTTTTACTGTGAAAAAAGGAGAAATTACCAGAAAAGAGTGGCGTATTTACACTGCAAAATTCTAAAATAAGAAATAAAGGTAAAAATGTATTTAAAATAGTTTACGCTAAAAAGAAATCCACTAAAATGGCAACATAATAATAGTTCTGGATGACAGGCTGGGTGATTTTTGTTCTCTACTTCTTTATATGTATTTTATTTTTAAAATTTATTTTTTGAGACAGGGTATTGCTCTGTCGCCCAAGCTGGAGAGCAGCAGCGTGATCTCAGCTCACTGCAACCTTGATCTCCTGGGCTCAAGCGATCCTCCCACCTCAGCCTCCTGAGCAGCTGGGACTACAGGCATGTGCCAACACACCTGGCTAATTTTTGCATTTTTTGTAAAGACAGAGTATTGCTATGTTGCCCAGGCTAGTCTTGAACTCCTGGACTCAAGCAATCTTCCTGTCTTAGCCTCTCAAAGTGCTGGATTATAGCCATGAGCCACCATGCCCAGACTATATGTACTTTACTTTATAAACTTCTATACTGAGCATATAATTTTTATTTTTTAAGAGACAGGTTCTTGCTGTTGCCCAGGCTAGAGTGCAGTGGTGTGACCAGAGTTCACAGTAACCTCAAACTCCTAGGCTCAAGCAATCATCCTGCCTCAGCCTCACAAATAGCTGGGACTACAAGCATGTGCCACCATGCATATTTTTTTTTTTTTTACTTTTTTATAAAGACAGGGTTTCACTATGTTGTCTAGGCTGGTCTGAAACTGCTATCCTCAAGTGATCCTCCTGCCTTGGCTTCACAAAGTGCTGAGATTACAGGCATGAGCCACTGTGCCCAGCCCAGTATTTTTATAAACAACAATGTACTTAAAATGAATACGTAGCCAAAGTGTGGAACACTGGCTTTGGAGTCAGACTATCTGAGTTGATATCTTCGCTCTACCACTTACTGATATTGTAAACTCTCTTGTAGTTTTCCCATTTGGAAAGTGGGGAGGATAACAGCGGTCATCTCCCAGGGTTACCATGAGGATTCAATGAGCTAATCCATACGAAACACTTAGAATAGTACCCAATAGAAAACGCTCAACCTTACTAATCTCGAGGACCACAAACCAGGCTTGGTGAATTTATCAAGGTAAATTCCATCTGAATTCAGCCATTCAGTCTTTCCTGACAATAGCCTGATCAATGTCTATGTGTATCTTTCTTTTACAAGGAGCATCTTAGAAGTAAGGAGAAATAGAAATACAAGAAGAAATGAACAGTGTCACAGGCTTGGCGGGTGGTCAACAAAAATGTATTACTATCGTGTTTTTCCTTGGGGGGGGTCCTCACTATTTTTATTTTTTTGTAGAGATGGGTGTCTTGTCTTGCTATGTTGCCTGGGCTATCTTGAACTCCTGGCTTCAAGTGATCCTCTTATTTCAGCCCCTCTCTCTCTCTCTCTCTTTTTTTTTTTTAAGACGGGGTTTCACCATGTTGGTCAGGCTGGTCTCAAACTCCTGACCTCAAGTGATCCGCCCACCTTGGCCTCCTAAAGTGCTGGGATTACAGGCTTGAGCCACCACACCCAGCCTTATTTCAGCCTCTTTAAGTGCTGTCATTACAGGTGTGAGCCACTGCATCCTTACTACATACAGGTTTATAGCTTTGTTGCCATGAGGATTTAGAGTGCATGAGGCAGCTTGAAAAAAAGTAATAGACAAAGGCAATCCTATGTAGACACATAATTTCAGCTTTGTCAAGAACAATAAAATGATTAAAATATGGACATCAGAGAATGAAAGAAGGTAATGTAATAAGAGGATGCTATCAGTACATTCATCTCATGAACAGATGGGTTCCGTAGAAATTTACCCATTCTCTATAACTTCCACAATTCAAGGTTCTTCACAATCCAGTCCAACTTTATCCATTTGGTTTGATTTCCCAGTGTAAGTTCTTTTAATCAGGATGGTTCCTCACAGTCCTTCGCCAACAGTTGGGTTACTCTTGCCTATATCAGAGAGAACTGTATACTCTCCTCTCTGCTAATTCATACCTTACTACCCATTCTTCAAAGTTCACATCAAGATCCCTATTGTGTAAAATCCTTATTTGACAATCCCAGCAAATAGTCTCTGCTTTCCTTAACACTTCATAAGATTATTATTTCTGCCACTTAAACACCTTATCAGCCATAGGCAAGATGGTATACAGGAAAAAACATAGAAATTGTTAATCTAAAGATGTGAACTTATTTCAGCCAATACATTCATAGCTGTACAATCCCAGGAAGGTTACCTAGACTGTGTAAGCCTTTTTATTCACCTACAAAATGGATATTAAAACCTGCTATTGTTGGACACTGGATTGATATAAAAGATATATGAAAATACTTTGTAAATTTTAAAGACTATAAAAATGTTAGTTATAAACATTATCCTGTCCCAGTTTCTAGGTACCTATAACAATGATATCACCTTAATAAAAATATTAAATATTTTTTTAAAATTTTATTTTTCATGTGCAAATCACATACTTAAACATCTTTATAGTCTATTAGGATAAGATAGATGTTCAAGCATCATGTTAGGCACATGCCAATGGCTTATTATTAGATTCTATTTTAATTTCTGTCTTTTCTTCTTTTTCTCTCTTTTTCTATAGTACTTTGTAGGCATACGAAAACTAAAAGTTTATTTCAGTTGGATTAGATGTCGACAGCCATTATTATTCTATATTTAGTTATGCAAATACTTTTCTGTTCTTGAAAGCTAAGTTGAATCCTCAAATTATAGACTTTCCCCAAACAAAAATCCTTTACCTTAACAGTTTTATTTTTTGGGCCACTTAAATTTTAATTACCAAGGAAGTCACAATGTCTCCCATCTCTTGGGGAATTAGGTATCAGAATGTAAGAACTTAAAATCAAACAGTCTACCCTTTTCTTTTTTCTTTTTTGAGATGCAGGGTCTTGTTCTATTACTCTGAGTGACAAAACAAAGCTGGAATACAGTGGCACAATCTGGCTCACTGCAGCCTCAACCTCCTGCGGTCAAGTGATCCTCCCACCTTAGCATCCTGAGTAGCTAGGATCATGGGCATGCACCACCAGTCCCAGCTAATTTGTGTAAATTTTCGTTCAGACAGGATATCTTCATGTTGCCCAGGCTGGTCTCGAACTCTTGGACTCAAGTGATCCTTCTGCCTAGGCTTCCCAAAATGTTGGGATTACAGGAATGAGCACCACGCCTGGCCCAGCCTTGCCGCTTCTAAAGCAGCACTGCTCCTTAATATTGTGGTAATTTATTTAAACTACTAAGTGGTTCTACAAGTCTTCTCTCCAAAAGTTGCAGTGAGTCAAGATCATGCCATACTCAGCCGGAGAGAAGATTCACACCTGTAATCCCAACACTTTGGGAGGCCAAGGCGGGCAGATCACTTGAGATCACTTGAGTTTGGGACTAGCCTGGCCAATATGGTGAAACCCTGTCTCTACCAAAAATACAAAAATTAGCCAGGCATGGTGGCATGTGCCTGTAGTCCCAGCTACTCGGGAGGCTGAGACAAAAAAATCACTTGAACCCAGAAGGCGAAGGTTGCAGTGAGCCAAGATCACGCCACTGCACTCTAGCCTGGGCGACAGAGCAAGATTTTGTCTCAAAAAAAAAAAGTCTTCTCTCCTATACATCCTCTTACAAACTGATGTCAACAGGTCTTTTCAGTCTTAGAGAGCCAAAAAGAGACACTTTACTCAAGCCAGTCAACATATATGTCACCACAGTAGTTAGTGTCGCAGAGAGCTGGGAACAACAATTCTTGTGCTTCAAACCTATAATTTCTGTGTGCCAACCTCAACCACATTAAAACCACCACATCTTCTCTCTTTCTATTAGTAGAGAGGCCTTGTTTTTCCAGCTAAATAAATAAGGCATTTAAAATGGTATATCACAGGGTTCAGTCTTCCAATGGTCTAAGGGTTAGAATTAAATTTACCTCAGAGGGAACATACTGCTCCACAGCTGTAGCAACAGTTGCACAACAAATCCAAAGCAACACCATCACCGAGAGGACAAGAGTTGTAGTTAAAATCCACCCAGAATTACTGGAAAAAAATCAACAATTAGTTACGTTAAAATTTCATAACACAAGAAATAGGAGATTCTCAATTACAGTCATCAACCTTATGTACTTAGCTCAACAGTACAATTAAAACTTTGTTGATTATCTTTGAAACTATTAAAAAGACATACTTATAGAAGGAAATATTAGACTAATAGCTATTACATTAGGTTGGCTTAATACCTTTTTCCTCCACTTCTAATGTTTCTGTAACATGGCTACATCACTTTTGTAATAAAACAATTAGACATGACTTTCTGCTAAATATATAAGGTAAGTGAAAATGTCCTGTGGATTGCACACTGTTGTACAAATGTCATATATTATTTTGCAAGGTATTATGATAATATTTGCTTTAAAAAACCCAATATACCAAAAAATATAAGTATAGAATAGCTAAATTTAAAATGATTATTTGTTTCATAAAAGAAATCACAACAGGCTTCCAGAAGTCAGCTTCCTGAGAATACTTCACATATTTAATTAGCCATAATTTACTTACACTTCCATTAAAAAGAGCACATCTATTATAAGGCATTCTGTAACCATTATAGCATATCTCAGTAAAGAGACAGTTATATTTTCCTTATAATTAAAATAAGATAGAAGACCAGTTTAGAGAATCAGCAATTAGAGGTTTTTAATTTATTTTTAATTACTCTGAATTTTTATAAAAACAAATTCTCACTATATTGCCTAGGTTGGCCTCGAATTCATGGGTGTAAGCCATTCTCCTGCCTAGGCTTCTCAAAGTGCTGGGATTACAGGCGTGAGCCACCACACCCAGCCTGAAGTTTTTTTTATAATTGGCCTATTAAGATTCAAAGAACAGGAAAAAGTCAAGCCACTTAAAAATAATTAAAAGTCTAAATCTGACAAACTATGTAATATAGATAGTCCCTAATCTTCACATCTCTGCTCATCTAACACTGCCTAATAAGAGAACTCTACTTACCACACTAACCACTCGATAGTTTGCCAAGACTTGAACATGCGGTAAGCACAGTTGTTTGTTTGCCAGCAAAAGAGGTGGACTTTGGAGAACGTATTTTTATCTAAAAGCAGGGAACTCCCATATGATGCTTTAAGTATCCCAATTTAGAAAGATTAGAGGACAACATATTTTTAATAAAAAAAAAATACCCACTTTCCTCTACATGTTCCAGCCCTAACTAACCTGAGTACTAAGGAATTTACCACAAAATGAGGATATATTTGGTATCTGGATTCCAGTAGCAACTAGATAAGCCAGAAAACTGGGGCTCAGCCCTTCAATTTCCACAACAAAATAATGACTAGATCCTACAGATTTTCAACTATCTCTATTATCTCCTGTTCTCCTTGTCTACTGCCCTAATTCAGGCCTTATAATTTCTTCCCTGATCTGCCAAAGTTCTCCAACCTGGTCCTGTAATCTATCCTTCACATAAAGGCCTCTTCTTGACACTTGCATTATGTTCCTGCTCCTCTCTATTCCTGTTTTCCCAGTTTAGTCAAATTTCTGACTCTCCTTATCCTCCATATATAGTAATATACCCTATACACATTGAGCAGGAAACCAGTATATCTGAAAAAAATTTTTTTAAGTAAATCTTCTGCTACAACTAGCAAAAATTTCTACTTGTCACTTAAAAGATATTTCTATCTTACCTGTCAATCCTCCCCTTGAAACCTCCAGTAGACTTAAATATAGTCCTTATATGCTGTGTATAAGATATGTGTGTGGCGGGGGTGTGTGTATAGCAATCATTATTGTCCATGTCTGTCTAGACCTGAGAACTCCTGACATCTTTCCTAGGTTTCAAGTCCCTAGCACAGTGCCTGGCTTTTCAAAAAGAAATAGAAGTGAAGAAAGAGTAACCTCAATTTCCATTCTGGAGACAAGGGTGTCTCTTTAACAGCTACGACCAGATTCCACTAACTGGCTGAGTGATTCTGTATGTAATCATGGAAAAATCATGACACTTCAGGAAGTAAATAACTACAGTAGAATAGGATGAGTAGAAGATGTATAATTAGAAAAATTAGGCTTGAATTTAATATAGTGACTGTGTAACCTCGGGAGTAGTCAATTCACCTCTCTAAATCACCGCCTACTTATCACAGGGTATTGTTCTAAAAGTCAAATTGGATCACTGAAGGGGAAACAGCACTTTAAAAAAGAACACTTGAAAAAAATATTTGAGACAGTCTTGCTCTATCACTCAGGCAGTGCAGTGGCACAGTAACAGCTCACTGCAACCTTGACCTCCCAGGCTCAAGTGATTCTCCCACCTCAGCCTCTTGATAGCTGGGACTACAGACATGTGCCACCATGCCCAGATAATTTTTTAATATTTTGTAGAGATGAAGGTCTCACTATGTTACCCATGCTGATCTTGAATTCCTGGGCTCAAGTGATCCTACTGCCTCAGCCTTCCAAAGTGCTGGGATTACAGGCATGAGCCACTGCACCCGTCCAAAAGAATACTTTTTATTCAAATGTAGAATCCTATTATAATTTATGTTTGGGCATAAAAATTTCTAAGAAGTACGTTTCTAGTTATAAAGTTAGTGGTTTCACAAAATCACTTTTAAAGTGTTCGATTTAAAACAACAACATACAAAATGTTAAACATCAATAGATCAATAATATGCCAGTACTGAGAACTGTAATTTAAGATTAAATGATTATTTAGGTTTCACAGAACTATCAAACTGCAACAAACATCCTAAACACTGGAAAGAGAAAAACTGCCTTTTTTTGGACAAGCTCAAAACCAGGTTTAGAAATGAAAGGATAAAATTTAAAGTTTAATTCTTGTTTTCTCATACAGTCTTTTAACATTTTGCTGAATAAAAGGTATTAATTTGTAAGGTCCACATAAATCTAATGATTATAATAAAACCTCTCAAGAAACTATTTCTATAAAAAATTACAGGAAGCATGTGGTTTGGACTACTGCAATTTTATACTTGGGATAGAACAATCCACTAGAATGAATACACTACAAACCAAGAACTAGTTTACCACTCACTGAAATGCTTGGCCTGCTATCTGACACAGAGTAGGTAATAGTCAAGAAGTGACATGACCCACTATCTTTCTCTTTTTCCTTTTTGTGGGGTGGGGAGGAGTAAAAGTATTGGGGAGGGCTCATATCCTAACTCCTTGGAGAAGAGAAAACATGCGCATTTTGATAAAACCTGCCTCACCCTCATAAGGCTTGGTATTCCTTCTTAGGAGGGCATACGTTACCTACTACTCTTACTTGCCCACTTAACCATTACACTTAAAAATTCTTGGCACAGAGCCGACACTCCTTAGTATAGAATACAAACCCCTTCTTAATCTATAGTCCTTATTTAGATCCTCTAGCCTCATATCTGGCCATGCAGATAAAAAAAATTAAACCCGATATCTAAGCCATTCAGACATACTTTATTTTTTTGAGACGGTCTCACTCTGTCCCCCAGGCTGCAGTGCAGTGGCGTGATCTCAGCTCACTGCAACCTCTGACTCCCAAGTTCAAGCAATTCTCCTGCCTCAGCCTCCTGAATAGCTGTGATTACAGGCGTATGCCACCTCACCCAGGTAATTTTTGTATTTTCAGTAGAGACGGGGTTTCACCATGTTGGCCAGCCTGGTCTCAAACTCCTGACCTCAGGTGATCCACCTGCCTTGGCCTCCCAAAGTGCTGGGATGACAGGCATGAGCCATGCATCTAGCCTCAGACATAAGTTAAATTATAGCTTAGTTTAAATGTGTGGAGAAGCACATTCAACATAAATCAAGAAATTCTAACAAGAAGAATGCTATTGTACTGTGAAAATAATTACCTGCCTGGGTTTTATTGAAGCAGTATGCCTATTACCTTTTAAACAAACTAAAATATCGAATAGTACAACTTTGGAAGGGAAAAAGTAAAAATGTTTACTTTTGAGGTGCTAATTTTAAAATAATAAAAAGTAATATCTCTCTCATGCAAGTCAGATTTTATCTGTTACACACATAATAAAGAGTACATACAGAGAGAGGCATCTTAAAAAGCCATCACTTTCTCCATCTTCAAGGAAATTCCTGTGTGCTTGTGAATTTCTCATTTGCAGATCTGCTGAAATAGTAAGGTACAAGTTTATTATATCCTATATCCCAAAAGCTAGTCTCATATGACTACTTCAAGATATACACACTTTACAGATATCCAATTATTTTTGTTTGTGTCATCTGATACATTTTATAATGTGTACCAGTTTCTCTAGCACATCAAAACCAAATGAATATTCTACCACATTAGGAGTTTCCTGTTTTATTTTCAAATTCTTATTGACATTGAAGCTTTCTGCTTAATTAAATGTGAGCTTGGATTTGGTTTATTCTAATCTAATTAAAGATGGTCCCTACCTACCAAAATAATGAGAAGGCTAATGAAATCAGTATCTAAAAGAAGGTATGAGTAAATTTTACAAGGTAAGCTCTGCTTTAGCTTGGTGTTTTATGTTCTTACAAGTTAAAATTTATTTCTAACATGGAAATAAAAACAGAATGGGGACTCATACTTTTGGCATTTTTCACTATTTGGTCAATTTATTGGTAAGTACCAGAATATTTGATTAGTTCATGCTCAAAACATCCTTTAAAGCAAACTAAATGTTTTTAGAATAGTGATTCTCAAAGTATGGCCCCCAAGCCAGCAGCATCAGCAAAATCTGGAACGTGTGAGAAATACAAATTCTCACATCTTCTCCCAGACCTAGTAAATTAGAAACTCTAGAAGTGAGGCCCAGCAATCCGTGTTTGAACAAGCTCTCCAAAGTCTAATACACATGAAAGTTTGAGAACCACTGTTTTAGAAATTATCTGCTTATGTTCCAACAGTGTAAAAACAAACACACAACTAACTCTACTACAACTAGATTTGACTACTAATGTTTTTATCTAAGCTACTTAAAATAAAACTTACAGGACATTTTGCTTAGAGACGATTCTCTCAAATTTGTAGGCTCTTGGTCCAAATGTGGTGCATACTGAATTTCTGGCTTAGACTAAAACAATAATGAAAGCAATTAAGTCATTTGTATTTCTTTAGCTTTTTTCAGTATAACAAGTTCTAAAACACGTCCTCTCTTTAAACATTTAAATTGAGAAAAAGTAATAGAAATACTGTATAAAAAATAAAACATACAAACCACAATATATTTTAATTGCACTTCCTAAACATCAGATCCAGTGCCTTGCAAAGAAACAGATTTCTGGCAGATTTTTGTTAGTTTAACTTCCTGACAACATTTTTTTTTTAAAGGGAGAGAGGGACAAATCATGACATACTACATTATACATTAAATACTATACTTTGCAGAAATGAGTTCTAATTCTAGTTGATCAGGAATAATTTAGCAGACTGCCAAAACTTTTGGTTAAACACATATTCTATTTCTTCTCATATGAAACATTTCATTCTTCCCTACGTATGAGCAATCCATAAATTACAGCCAAACATTCCATAATTTACATCTTCTGTATAGTTCTGATCCTCTAGAATGGGGGTTTCTCATTCCTACTTATGTTCAAAATTCACACAAACTTTAGAGAGACATGGAGCTAATCTCTTATCTAATGAAGAATGAATGAGAGCTTCATTCTGAGAGTCAACTTATGCTTTGATGTAAGTAGCGTCAGGACATAGAACTTGTTCACGAATTTAAAGAAAAAAGTCCTGTGTTTTACTTCTTACCAAATTAAGTAGAGGGGATCCAAGGTTCAGGATAGTGCTAAAAATCATGTACTACCCATATATTAAGCCACTTACTTAGCTGCAGTACTTAAAAGGTTTACTTTATTACCTGAGAGGAAGATAGTGCCACACATAAACTCTGTTGACTGGCAAATTTGGGAATTTAACTACTGAATTAAAAGCATGGTAGGGTAAGATATGAGCCTTGGTGCTAAAGCGCCCTGGGTTTGAAGCTTAATTCTATTACTTACTGGCAGTGCAACTTAAACAAATTACTCTCACCTTCCTCATCAATAAAATAGGAATAATATAATCTCATAATGTTGTTTGACGATCTGAGATAACATATCTAGTACCATATAACCTCCAAGGAATAACAGTTATCACATGGTAAATGATGAAATAGGAAAAGTTACCTCTTTAGGCAAAATACTTCTTCAACAAGTTCTCTTATAAGAGTTATGAGGAAAAACACTATAAAAAACTAAAAATTATGTCATATTGCTTTTATCTGATATCCATATGTAATCATATATGTCCACTATTTATATTATTATCTTTCATATTTAAGGATTTCATTTTATCAATTTAACCACCATAAAATTTAAAAGACTCAGAGTTCTGATTAGATAAGAACTAACAGGCTTCAGATAAGGCTTTTAATGTGCAAAGGGAAGGGTAATCAAACTGATGCCCAGTATTTTAATGTAGGGTCAAATAAGTAATTACTATTTGATGATAAATATTTGTAAGTGACTGAGTATGGTTCTACGCTGAAACACTCATTTAAGACATATACATTTACTGTTGTTGGTATTTAGATGAATCCATGAAGCACAGTTGTCACCTGGAATATAACTATTTTTCCATCATCAGCTTGAAGATAAAAAGTCCATGAAGAGGTTATGAAGCTCTGTGCAGAGTCCATCATGTCACTCCAGAATGACCTCACCAGAGTTAGAGGAAAGAGTAGATGCATTTTTGGCATCAGGGACATAAGCTAAAAATAAAAATAAATAAATAATGAGAAATATATTATTTTTTGCATATGTATATTCAAGAGAACAACATAATAAAGATTACTCAAATCCTTATTGGGACAGGATACAAACAATTAAATAAATCTACCATAATCAATAGCATTAGAGTAAACTCAGTTATCTATGCAAATTATGGTAAAGCTTAAAAACCAAGGTTACTTTAATTTGCCACCAAACACACTAGTTAGCTACCTGTCACCTCTATCAGAATAACAGGCTTTTGAATTAAGTCCAAAAATAAGGAGACTCTTAAGATAAATAAGGACCAGCAAGGCCTTGAGGGAAGCACGGGAAGGGGCAAATTGTATCATTCTCATCTTTAATCCTTTCATTGAGAATAAATCATCTATATTGAACATCAATGGAAAAGAGGAAGAAAAAAATCAATCAGAAGAATATATACATAAAATGGTAGACGTAACAACAGGCAGGGTGAAGGGCGAATTTATAGACTGAGTATATGCAGTAAGCTACTGATAACATTTTAACAAACGGTATCATCTTTCCTCCAATTCTGACTTCTTTAGCAGCACTGGGCCCCTCTAAAGCACAAGTATGGGATGCCATTTACTAAACTCTAGGGATAGCTTTGGTTCTGCTTTCTTATTTGTTTGTTTGTTTGTTTTGAGACAGTGCCTCACTCTGTTACCCAGGCTGAAGTGCAGTGATATCTACGGTAGCGCTTGATTCTAGAAGCTTGAGGCCAGCCTGAGTAATATAGTGAGACCCTCATCTCTAAAAACCATAAAAATAAAAAACACATATACCTCTTAGCAATTCTAGCCCTATGATTTTATTCTATAGGTATATTCACAAATGTGCAAAATAGATACCATTTATAAAAGAAAAAGATTAGGAATAACCTACATATTCACAAATAAGGGACTGCCTAAATAAATTATAATAAATCTACACAGATTATATAGTAGAAAAAAATTAGAAGCTCTTCATGTATACTTATATTTATAAAATATATATGTGTACATCCTTGTATATGCATAAAGTATCTCTGTATTAGTAAACTTGGCTACATTTGTGAGGAAAAACCGAGTGGCTAAGAGACAGGGGTGGTAGACTTTCCACTATATGTATACTCTTTTTATCTCTTGAGCTTTGTACACATGACTATTTCCTGTGCAAAAATAAATAAAATTAAACTTTTCCCAGTATGTCTAAAGAATAGAGTAGGAAATTCCCTTGCAGGGAATTTTAAGAGACAGCACTGGAGAAGTAATCAGGAGCTATGTTGTGATAAACAATTTGGGCTTAAATCTATATGTAACTGGGAGCCACTGATTATATGAGACAGGAGAATGGCACAATGAAATGTAGAAAAAGAAATATCTGGACACAGTAAAGGATGGAGTTAGAAAGGGTTAAAGTGGAAAAACAGTTTGGAAATTAATTTTAAAATACAGGTAAGAAATGATGATAATCTAAGTTAAGGCAATGGCAACTGTCCAACAGCAGGTGGGATAGAGAAAAAGAACTCTGAAATAATTCCTCTGAGCTTTGGTTTTTTCATATGTAAATGAGGATAATAATTTCACTAGAATGTGAGAACAAACAAAACAAGATTATGAATATGAGCATAATTTTTAACAGTAAAGCATTATACAAAAGCAATTATTCAATTGACTTTTCTATTTGCAAACTAAATTTGTTTGCTGAAAGCCAAATATAAAATATAACCTTAAAATAGGATCAAGTGGGTGATAAACACTTCAAGCAATACAAGTCAGTGCCATCTAAGCAGGCTATTTTGAAAGGCAGTATTGTTTCCTACTTGTTCTTGTCTCAGTTCAGCAAATGGCAGCTGATTCTGGCAACCAAGATGGCAAGCATATTGTTCATCAGATTGGGAATATGCTTCTGTACATGCTGTAAGAGAAAAACAGCCAAATTACAAGAAACAAAAGAGAGAGAGAAAGAGAAAGAAAAGGATTGGGCGTTCTATAAAAAAATTTCTTACACTTAAAAAAGATTTCATTAATATCAATCTCCAAATTTGGTAATATAGTAGTAGGACATGTATCTTTAAACTCCATACTGCCTCCCTCCTATAAGTCAAATGTTTTAGATATAAATCTATTAATTACACACCCAGGCTCTGGCCACATGATGATACTCATATAAGAAGATCCTTGTAGCTAAGGCTTGTGTAGTGAAAAAAGCACTGGGTTGGCATCCTGAAGATGCCACTCGGAGTTTAGTTCCAACTTTTGTTGGTGTGTGTGACCTGGGCTGAGCAGTTTAACCTCTGACTATTGATTTCTATATGTCTAAAATGGAAAATACCACCACCTACTGCATAGGGTTGAATGAAATAATATTATTTTAATGATTTATACAAATACAAGATATTATTGTTAAGAACTAGACCACTCAGTTAAGAAGGGTATGCACATGGCAAGGGAAAAATAAAACAATCAGCCTAACATCTGAAAGTCTAAGAAAACTGAACTACAAAATGTTCTACAGCAGATGATTCTAATGTTGAAATGGGTCTCTACCAGATATACTTTCATTAGTTCATTAAATCCATTTCCTCCATGTGATATAACATTTTACCACTATACCAATTTTATTTTTTCCCAACTCAGTAATGCATTTGTAATACACTTCTCAGACGAGCTAGATAATAAACTAGACAGCATTCTGCACATATAAAGATGATCAGTTAGGAGACTGAGCCGTAAAAATATGGCTATATGATATCAAAGAAGACTGCATGTGAGCCATGGCATAGTGACAGGGGAAAAGGTGCCTGCTTCTATGCTGAATAAATAGTGTGATGAATGGAGAAAATTCCATTATAGTTATTTAAAAGTTAAACGTCAATTGTGTCCTGATTACAGGTTTCTTTTATTAAACATATTGCTTTCAGCAAAAAGAAAGACAAGTGGTTTAATAGATGACAAAACCTTTGGCTACTTATTTTAATGGCATAACCAATGAAGAATACACTATTAAATACTGAGTCAAAGGCCTGATTCAGTAAAAGACTTGGAGATAAGTCAAGTAACCTATGATTGAAAGGTTTAGGAAAATTATACAATCTGTGAAAAGGTAGTAATGAATTGTGAGTAGGGTAATTACTACTGCATCTGTCTGACAGAATGCTTGGTTAAACAAAGGTGTCCTATTCATAGTAGAAAATAAACACTGTCTCAACAAATAGATGAAATTTAAAGCCCATGAAATTTCTAGCAACAGCTATGAAAACTCTTAAATCCATATTAATTACAAATGTTAGAAGACTAGTTTCAACAGTGTATCTGCCATTCCTAAAGAAAATACTTTAAAAGCTTATCACAAAGAAAACAACATTACATACAGCTGATGTTGTTAGCATAGCATCTTACCAGATTCACATTCCAATTTGGTTCGATTTAAGTCGGTTCCGTCATCCACAAACTGACAAATTGAAAACAGCCTGCAACCTCTCTGACATGCGTACAACTCCTCTTCCTAGGGAGTTCAAGAACAGGGAGGGTTACCAAAAAATAGCATTTTCTTCCTCAGGGGAAAATAGGTTAGGAAGAAAGTAAAGTTAGTAAAGTTTACTACAAATTATCCAATAGTGTCATAACTGAAAGAAAAAAATGATAGGAGCCAGTTGATAGCCAAGACCTTCGCCATACAGAGGTTTTAGTTCCTTCATTTAAAAGTGATACCAAGAAAAAAGCTTAGTAGGTAAAACCATCACCCTTTTTTCATTTTCTCTGGTTACAATCTGTGGGGGAAAAAAAATTGAAAATAAAAATAACAGTGACAGGCCAGGTATAGTAGCTCACACTTGTTATCCCAGGGCTTTGGGAGGCTGAGGCAGGAGGACTGCTTGAGGCCAACGGTTTGAGACCAGCCTGAACAATATAGCAAGACTGCATCTGTACCCCCCCGCCAAAAAACATTAACCGGGTGTGGTGGTATGTGCTTGCAGTCCTAGTGCTCAGAGGGCTGAGGTGTGAGGATTGTTTAAGCCCAGGAGTTTGAGGGTACAGTAAGCTATAATCACACCACTGCACACCAGCCTGGGAGACTGAGACCCCATCTCTTAACAACAAACAAACAAAAACAACAGTAATATAACTAGAACTTTAACAGAAATAGAAAGGAGTAAGCAAGTACCCTAGAACCAGCGACATTACTTTTGCCACATCCATGTTTATATGAATCACCAAGCTTATTAGGAAAAGTATCAGACTAGCTTCACACGGCAAATGGTGTTACAACGGCCTGATAAAGTAAGGTATACATCTGTAAAAATGTTTATATGAAATGATTTTTTTAAATTGGGCTTACATTAAATGAAAACACGGGCGCTACAGTGTGGTATATGGGAAAGCTAGACCTAGATATGCAAACAGCTAGACCTAGATCAAACCTTTTGGGCAAGTGCGTAAGTCATCTTACCTGTCTAAGAATCACAGGTTTCTCATCAAAAAAGGAGGCAACAGCTATCATCCCCAAATTCCTCAATAATTTGGAAAGACAGCTAATCCCAGCACAATGCCTGGGATGTAGAAGGTGTTTAATAAATGGTAATAGTGTTAATAGGTTTTTAAAATTGAAAACAATTACAGGCATCATTGTGTATGTGTGAAAGCTCAAGATAGGATGGACAGCTAGTTGTTCATTACTATAAAGTATTAACTGCTTAATAAGACTAATGTCTTCAGTGGGTTTTTCTTTGCTAAAATATAGTATTTTAAAAAAGCTATTGCATATGGGGGAGCCCCCTCAACTTACTATGTGATCCAGTGTGTACAAACTGGCAGACACCTAATAAGGAAACAGTATGTGCATATACCAGATAGTAACCAATGAATACAAGGTATGTATTTCTTTCCAGCAGAAGGATTAGTAAAATTTATGTAGCAGCAACAATCCATCAAGAAGGGATGGCTGCAGTCTAACATTAAATATATTTTATCATACAACTTTGAAGGTAGCACACATTTGGACCTCAGTTCTAGCTGCATTTATTAAGATAAAATTGAAATAATTTTAATAATTAAGATAATAAATTTCATACCTGAGTAGCTTTTGCAGGCTTTGTAAAACAGTTAAATAATTATTTTATGTCTTTGAAGCACCACATTATTTGCTTATACTGTACAGAGGAAGCATGAGCTTATTAGTATGAGCTATATCACATGCCATTTTATTTTCAGATATACTTTCCTTTGTTAAAGAAACCTAATGAGTCATCCAGTATCAATTTCAGAAAACCATATGGCATGGTGAAAAGAGCCTAGGTTTCAGGAGTCAGCCCTGGTTTGAAGCTCAGCCTTGCCACTTACTCTGTACAACCTTTGGCAAGTTACTTAATCTCTCTAATTCCTCAGTTGTAAAATAAGCACAATACTCTTACATCAATCCTAACTACTGTTTATTTTCTACTGCCTGATCACTGCAGAGTGTCAATCTTAACTATTAGGAGAATTATACATTTATATCTACAATAGCATTACTATTATGTAGTACTATCTAATAGACGTACATATTTAATGAGCATCCACAATGTGCCAGGCACTGTGTTAAGACTTGACATATTATGCAACATCTGGTATAGAGCTGACACTCAACTGGTAGCTATTAAGAATCATGTCTTTATTCTAAGTATTTCATGTTATATATACAAAAATGATAATTTCAAGTAAATAATTAATAACCTATGAATCCTAAATGACTAGCAAGCTTGTATATCATGTATCTTCTGATTTAGGACACACGGAAATAAATGGTGCTTCCACCATATTAAATACAGCTAAGTTCATAATTAGAAAGTCTCTCAATGATACTATTTAGGCCAGGTGCTGTGGCTCATTCATGCCTGTAATCCCAGCACTTCGGGAGGCCAAGACATAAGGATCTGTTCAGCCCAGGAGTTTGAGACAGCCTGGACAACACAGCAAGACCCTGTTACAATTTCTTTTTTTTTTTTTTGAGACAGAGTTTAGCTCTTGTTGCCCAGGCTAGAGTGCAAGGGCACGATCTCGGTTCACTGCAACCTCAGTCTCCCAGGTTTAAGTGATTCTCCTGCCTCAGCCTCCAGAGTAGCTGGGATTATAGGCATGTACCACCACGACTGACTAATTTTATATTTTTAGTAACGACAAGGTTTCTCCATGTTGGTCAGAGTGGTCTCAAACTCCTGACCTCAGGTGATCTGCCCGCCTCAGCCTCCCAAAGTGCTGTGATAACAGGCGTGAGCCATCACACCCGTCCAGCTTTTTTATTAACATAATTTATGTCTCTTGTTTTTTGAACCCAAATTATGCAATTGCACTTCTGTAGATAAAAGATAGAATAATTTAAAAATAAACATCTCCTGAGTAGCTGGGATTATAAGCATGTGCCACCACGCCCAGCTAATTTTTGTATTTTTATAGAGACAGAGTTTCACCATGTTGGTCAGCCTGGTCTTGAACTCCTGACCACCCATGATCCACTCGCCTCAGCCTCCCAAAGTGCTGGGATTACAGGCGTGAGACATCATGTCTGGCCTAAAATGAGATTTCTATCTGCCAGTTACAAATACCAGACAGAGAAGCTATGTGAGTTTGGAAATTCATCTGATTTCTTACAAAGCATAATGCATTTTTCCTGGAGCACAAAGCACAACAATTCAGAGGAGCATCAACAGAAACCAGGGAAATAATTAAATTCCTTCTTCCCTTCCTTCCTTCCTTTTCTCTTTTTCTCCCTCTCTCTCTCTTTTTTTTTTTTGAGGCAGACTTTCACTCTATTTGCCCAAGTTGGAGTGCAGTGGCACAATCTCAGCTCACTGCAACCTCTGCCTGCTGGGTTCAGGTGATTCTCCTGCCTCAACCACCTTGGTAGCTGGGATTACAGGGCACATGTCACCACACCCGGCTAATTTCTTTTTTTTTTTTTTTTTTTTGTATTTTTATTAGAGAGGGGGTTTCACTATGTTGGCTAGGCTGGTCTCGATCTCCTGACCTCAAGTGATCCACCCACCTTGGCATCCCAAAGTGCTGGGATTACTGGCGTGAACCATCGCACCCAGCCTTTTTATTTTTTTTTAATTGAGGCAGGGTCTCACTCTCAGGCTGGAGGGCAGTAGTGACATTTCGGCTCACTACAACCTCCACCTCCCAGGCTCAAGCAATCCATCCTCCCACCTCAGCCTCCCAAGTAGCTGGGACTACAGATGCCTGTCCCCATCCCTGGCTAATTATTGTATTTTTTTTTTCTTTGCAGTGATGGGTCTTGCCATATTGTACAGGCTGGTCTCAATCTCCTGAGTTGAGGTGATTCACCCACCTCAGTCTCCAAAAGTGCTGGGATTAAAGGCGTGAGCCGTCGTGCCTGGCGGAGTATGTTTAATGCAAGTTTATTAACAGGAGGGAGCATAGTGTAGCTAGTTTTAAGCTGAACTCCTACTCTACTTTTTTTTTTTTGGCTATGTGACCTTAGGCAAGTCACTTAACCTTTCAGAGCCTCAATTTCCTTAATTTTAAAACCCTACTTTGCAGGGTTGTTGTGAGAATTAGGGATAATGGTATGGTAAATCTCCCATCACTCTGGCTAACAGTGGAGTCTCAATAAATTTCAAGTCCAGGATCTGTAGGGAGCCAGTTGACTTGGAGTTCTTTGCGAGAAATGCTTTAATAAATAAGTAACAATGGTTTATAGATATCACACCAATTGTTAGAAAACAGTGGGCAATTTAAAGTTCCTAAAGGTTCTAGGAAGTATATCCTTTCAAATTATTTAATTATTCTCCCAACATTCTGGTTTATACTACACAATTGCCAGGAAAATCTTAAAAAAGGAAACAAACCCTAGAACAATACAAAGTAAGTCTCAGCCCAATTCCAGGCCAAATCAATATTAATGAGCTTCCTCATACAATCCTCTTAATGATGAGAAGTTTACAAGAAGTGAAGAAAAATAACGTGGTTAGAGGCAATATTCATTGATTTAAATCTGAAGTTAAAACTTATTTCTTTCTCGATTGTTACATAAACCTCTGGAAAAATATAGTATAGCCCGTCTCCCACACTTTATTAAAAAAATTGATAATCCTCATGCAATGTAAAATCCAGCCGTAAACAAAATCTGAGAAGTGCCGGCACTTAGAACTTTTCATTTCAAAGACCTTCTGAAAGCACTACAATCTAAGCTTCCCTGGAACTGTCTCCGTAGCCACTCTGCAGTTTTAGAGAGCAAAGAGGTCCAGCCACAATGGTTAAGCAAATAGCATACAAAAGATTAAGGAAAAACTTAAAGGAAGCTACCAGCAACATCAACAAAAGCTCTCATAAAACAACACGAGAGAGGGCTTATACTCAAATCATACATGGGGAAGGTGTGGCGGGAATCACCAAGCAATTTAGAATGTTTAGTAAACAGAGTTCTTAGGATGAAAAACCAAGTTTAAGGGGGGTTAGGTATGTAATTAAAAGAAAGGGGGAAGCAAAGAAAGGAGGGCCATTCGTCTCCCTAAGCTGCGAACCCCGCCTGTGGACAGTCTCATTTCTTTCCCCACTCCACGAATTCCCCGTCTTCTGCACTGAGTGGTCTGTTTCTGGTAGGCAGACACCTAACTGCCTCTTCTCTAATACAGTCCCTCTTGGCAGCGTCTAGGACACATTAACTCAACACGGGCAGACAGCATTCCTGGGCGTCTCACTACTCCTTGAGACGCCTTCGTGACGCTTTTTATACTACAGTGGAATCGTCTACTTGTCTGACGCCCCGAAGACTACGCCCGGCCCCGAAAGACGCTCAGTAAACAAGGGTTATGAATCAATTATCTGTGGACTCGCATCTCTGCGCCTCCTTTCCTAACCACCCCCCACTTACGCTCCTTAAGATGAGGACCCCGCATTAATCACCCGTATCCTCTGCTATCCTCTCCGTCTGAGTGCTCGACTGCCCTGCTGCCCCGCAAGCTCCAGAGGAAAGGCATTGTGTCTTTCTCATCTTTGTGTCCCCCAGCCTATCACAGGGTGGTGCAGGACAAACTTCCGGTAATTACAGCAGGAACGGGGTGCAGGCAGGATTGGGGAGGAAAACAGAAGCTACACAGATGGGAGACAGCAGTTGAAGGGCGGACAGAACAGCCAGGTTGCCAGAGCCGACAAAGGTGTGGGGAGCCGAGAGATGGGCTTCCAGGGAAGGGTTGCAGCCCATTCCGGACGGGCCCTACCTTAGGGTAGGTGTGCAAGGGGTAGGTCAACTGACAGGCCCGGTGGCAAGACGCCGTATCACCCAAGACGGAGTCAAATGCTTCAGCCGAAGCGGTCCCCGAACCTCCGGCCAGGGCCATGGTCAGCAGCAGCAACGGCGGGAGCCCCAGTTGGGTCCTGACCCAGAGGCTCCCCTTCGGCGCCGCCATCTTGTTCCCCTCAGTCACAGCAGCTCAGCTTGTTGCTGTTTTCTTTGAAGGGCTTCCTCCTCCTGGGGCCAGCCCCCTTCCCCACCCTACCGACCGTTGCTTCCGCCTCCGCCGTCGCTTCAGCTCCGCCCTGACCCGAGTGAAACGGCTGCCTCCTGCCCCACCTCCCAGACTGCGAACTTCTCCTAGGCAGGCGTGAGGAGGGGAACTCAACCATCGCGAGCATTAGCACGAAGCGGGGCCGCCTGACTTCTTCCCTTCGTGGAGCAGGCTGGGGCATGTAGTTCTCCCAAAGCGGGAGGCGCACGGTATTGTCGGGAAAGTTGATCTGGGAAAACTACAGCCGCCTTCGGCTAGCCTTCCGCTCGCGTTTCTTCGCAGTGCATTCCGGGGAATGTGGTTTGCTGTGGCCCTGAGGCGCGAGGGCCGGCCGGAGCCTCTTTAGAGGAACTACTGCCCTTGGAGGAAGAGTCTGTTTAGTTTCAGCACAGACGGCTGGGCTTGGGAGCCTACGAGGTTGCAGTCTGGAGGGTGCCAAAAGCAGCTGCCAGGGTAGCTTTTCCTGGTGGGTCTCACGTCAGACCGTTGTTGAGTGCCTCTACCCGGGTTCCTGAGTGCAAGATGGGGTTTCTCCTTGTTCGGGGATCCAGAGATTACAGCCGTGGGTAGAGTCCTCTGACCACCGAGCAGTTGTTCCAGGGGATGACTGCGTATTGTGAGACCTCCTGCTGAGCTCTTGCGGTGGTTGTCGGTTGCTAATTACCAGGACAACCCTTGAGATTGTGGCTGTGGTGAGGTAGTTGTTAAGAGGGTGTCTTTGAGCTCTGTGTAATCCTAACTCTTCCACAGCCCTATCTGAATTGGAAGAGGGCTTAGGTGCACGCTCTAGGAGGGGGATATTGGAATCCCCTCCTAGAACGGGCTCTTCTGTAAGCTAGGAACCTCCTAACTCAGGACATAGACCAATGATTACGGTTTCAATTCTTAGGAAGATCTTTCTTTTAAAGAGGAAATCTTACTTCCTGTCAATTCCACCCGAGTCCCTATAATTCAGAACTTCTTCCAGAGAACTCAATTGTGTCACTTTGGGGAAACAAATATCACAGCGGTCTTGGGTGAAGTTTTAGAATCTGTCCTCTTTCTTGACCAGAATCGCTGCAAGCACGTCAAGGTAGTCGGAGTCCCCTAACAATGGATAAATTCATCATTCGAACGCCTAGAATCCAGAATAGCCCTCAGAAGAAAGACTCTGGAGGAAAGGTTTACAAGCAGGCCGCGATTGAATCTCTGAAGGTGAGAGGGGATCTGGGACTAGAGGAAATGTGCAAAGGACTGATAGCAAGGTGGTGCCAGAGTTTCTGGTGTGGAAAGACCTATGAATTATTTCTTGTTATGCCTCCTTCCCCAGAGTGTACCTGACCACTCCTTCTTTGTTCCCTCCGTAGCTGTACAGACTTAGATTTATCACTTTCCGCCCCTCCGATACACCCTTGTAATTACTCTGGTGCAGAGTATGGTTTGCAGCATGTGTGCTAGCTGGTAGGACAAGTCCCCTTCTGCAAAATGTAGTCCGTTAGGAATGTTAAAGTACCAAATATGATTCTATATACCTACCCTGTACAGACTCATTAAGGGGTGGGTTTTGATGCAGTTCTCTCACGTCTTACTGCCCAGAACAGTATCAAATGGCTTTACAGCTATAACTGAGACTGGAAAAGAGGCTGGTTTTTGTTGTTTTTGAGACAAGGTCTCACTGTATCGCTCAGACTGGAATTCAGTGGCATGATCTCGGCTCACTGCAACTTCCATCACCCAGGTTCAAGCAATCCTCCTGCCTTAGCCTCCCAAGTAGCTGAGATTACAGGCGCCCTGCTAATTTTTGTTTTTAGTAGACACGGGATTTCACCATGTTGGCCTGGCTGGTCTCGAACTCCTGACCTCAAATGATCCACCTGCCTCAGCATCCCAAAGTGCTGAGATTGCAGGCGAGAGCCACTGTGCCCAGTGGGAAAGAGGATATCGATGTACTCTTTGCTACCTTGAACTCAGTCTGATGCCTGTTAGCAAGCAAGATGCAAAGAGTAGATACAATGAATCAGTCAACGTAGTTACTCAATAAATGCTAAAGTAATTATTATTTTACTAAAACAAAACAACTTGTACTTAGTCCCCTTATCATCTTGAACCTTGCCTCTTACATTTCTGACTTTTTCTTTTCATTTTCCTTTATCGGTTCCTCTTCCTCCACTAGGTTCCTAGTGTTTGGGCTCCTCAGAGTTCTGTCACATTTTATGTATTTGGCCAGGATCACCTTATCCATCTCAAGGCTTTCTATGCTAAAACTGCCAAACCTGCACCTCCAGCCTAGGTTTCAGAAGGTAGGAGGGGCATCTGGAGCTAGAGAAATTGTGCAAAGGACTGTGAGAGCAAGGCAGCATTCTGAGTACTTGACATCTACTCAGTTGGACCCCTTTCTTGGATGTCTCTCACGGACTTACCAGACCCATATTGGAAAGCAGTGAAGGAGAGTATAAACAGACCCTACTGGTAACTGGGTTATCTTTAGTAGCAAGTCAGTCTCTTCTCTAAGACCTCAGTTTCCTCATCTATAAAATGTGGAGACTGAACTATACCTGTGTTTCTTCGAGGGACTGCTATTGTATGGGGCAAGATAATTCTTCATTATTTGGAGCTGCTGGTGAGTTACAGGATACTTAGCATCACTTAAGGCCAATGGCACCTCCCATTCTGATTACCGAAAATGCCCTCACATATTTCCAGGCAGCACTTGGTTGAGCCCTATAGAACTCTAGATCTTGAAAGTCTGTCCTAGTCTTGCAGTTCTGTGACTGCTTAGAACACATTCAAGGTTTTCAACTGTCTCTACCTTGTCAGAATATTCATGGATAATCGTACATAGCAATGATTCTCAATGAGGGATAATATCAGACTCAAGGAAGAATGTGGGAAGGAATAGTTGAAGTACACATATACTCTCTTACAAATACCCATATTCTTTTTTTTTTTTTTTTTTTTGAGATGGAGTCACATGCCATCACCCAGGCTGGAGTGCAATGGTGGGATCTTGCTCACTGCAACCTCCACTTCCTGGGTTCAAGCGATTCTCTTGCCTCAACCTCCCAAGTAGCTGAGATTACAGGTGCCCGCCACCACACCCAGCTAATTTTTTGTATTTTTAGTAGAAGTGGGGTTTCACTGTTTTGGCCAGACTGGTCTCAAACTCCTGACCTTGTGATCTGCCTGCTTCGGCCTCTCAAAGTGCTAGGATTACATGTGTGAGTCACCATGCCCAGCCCGAACACCCATATTCTAATATACTTCTACCTACCCCTCTCCTCTCTGGGTTCCTGCTTGTGCCTCATTTGAAAACTATGTGTGATGATGAAAATAAATGATGTGAAAATTATGGAATAAGAAGAAAACAACAGGCTGGGTTCAGTGGCTTATGCCTGTAATCCTAGCACATTGGGAGGCCGAAGCGGGTGGATTGCCTGAGCCCAGGAGTTTGAGATGAGCCTGGGCAACTTGGCAGAACCCTGTCTCTACAAAAAAATACAAAAATTAGCTGAGTATGGTGGTGTGTGCTTGTAGTCCCAACTACTCAGGAGGCTGAGATGGGAGGAACACTTGAGCCTGGGAGGCAGAAATTGCAGTGAGCCAGGATTGCACCACTTCACTACAACCTGGGTGACAGAGTGAGACACTGTCTAAAAAAAAAAAAAAAAAAAGAATAAAACAACAGACATAAGTAATAACATTCCCCTTAAATGCATTATCTTTCCTTCCAAACCCGTTTCTTGTTCTCCTGTATTAACATATATCCATATACCAAGGAACTGGGACTAGAAATCTAGGAACCATCCTTAACTCTTTTTTCTCTTATATCCAATTTTCTTTTTTCTTTCTTTTTATTTTAGACAGGGTCTCACTCTGTCACCCAGGCTGGAGTGCAGTGATGTGATTATGGGACTATAGTTGCACATCATAGCTGCAACTATAGGCACACACTACCACACCTGGCTAACTTGTTTTTTTTTTGTAGAGACAGGATTTCATCATGTTGCCCAAGCTGGTCTTGAACTTCTGGGCTCAAGCTATCTGCCCACCTTGGCCTCCCTAAGTGCTGGGATTACAGGCATGAGGCACTACTCCTGGCCCAAATTTTTTGTTCTGCTTCCTAAAAATCCTTCATGCCCATACTCACTTGATTGTCTTCCACTTTAAGTTCAAAATCATACTTCTCATCTAGAGCAGTGCTATGGTCGGCTGACTTTTCTCCCTGCTCTTGACATCCCCCATTCACCTCCCTTTCACTCTTACACCAGAGAAATATGTCTAAAACAGAAAAGAAAATCTACTCAGGTCACTTTCCTGCCTAATCCTTCCATAATTTCTCATTACCCATTAATAAAGATCACATTTTTTTACATGGCACCCGAGGCCTTCCATGACCTGGCACCTGCCTGCCTCGTCCTCTGCTAGTCTTTTTATTTATGCCACTTCCAATGTCAACTATTCACAAATCCCCAAAGATGCTGTGCTCTTTCCTACCTCTGTGCCTTTGCTTAAACTGTCCTGTTTGCCTGGAATTCCCTGACTATCTTGTCTTGGAGGCAGTGTAATGCAGTAATTAAGAACATAGGCTCTGGAGCTCGACTGCCTGCCTAGAATCCCAGCTTACTTACTACCTTTGCGACCTTGGTCAAATTATTTAGCCTCTCTGTGTCTGTCTTAATCTATAAAATGGGGATTAATAATACCCGTTTTATAAGGTATTACAAAGGTTGAGTGAGTCAACCTACATAAAGTGCTTGGTACAGAGTCTGGCCCATACTAAGTACTATGTAAGTATTTGCTATTATTGTTATTATAATTACCTTATGAAATCCTATTCATTTCCCATGACCTAGTTTAAGTCCTCTACTAGGGCTCTTCCTGACCACCTTTCTGTCCCTGAGACGCAGAGCCGATCTAATCACTCCCTCCTTGAGCCGTCCCTGTATATTAAACATGTCTGTATCATTGCACTTATTTGTGCTGTATCACAGTTGTTTCTTTACATGCCTGTGCCCTGCTATGCTCTGAGCTTCTTGAAAGTCTGTGTCTCATTGATTTTGTGTCTCTGGTTCCTGGCACAGGACTTGGCCTATAGTAGGCTGCAATACATTTTTCTAAATGACCAAATGAAGTAAAATAAAAGGCTTGGCATGGCATATGAGAGTATTCTACCCCAGTGTGCTTATCATTTCATCCCTTGTAGCCTCTCCTTTATATGTATGCATTCCAACCACACTTTATTTCTTGCTGTTCTTTGTATAAGCTGTACTCTTTCATGTCTCCAGGGCTTCCTTGGACTTGATGCTGGTCCCTTTTCCTTTTTTTTTTTTTGAGACCGAGTTTCGCTCTTGTTATCCAGGTTGGAGTGCAATGGCACGATCTCGGCTCACCACATCCTCTGCCTCCTGGGTTCAGGCAATTCTTCTGCCTTAGCCTCCTGAGTAGGTGGGATTACAGGCACATGCCACCATGCCCAGCTAATTTTTTGTATATATAGTAGAGACGGTTTCACCATGTTGACCAGGATGGTCTTGATCTCTTGACCTTGTGATCTGCCTGCCTCGGCCTCCTGAAGTGCTGGGATTACAGGCGTGAGCCACCGCGCCCGGTCCAGGTCCCTTTTCCTTGAAAGCCCTTCTATTTTCTTTTACAGAGACAATTTCTACCCATTTGTCAACCCACTTAAGAACCACTTTGCCTATAAATCCTAGATTAAAAGCTCCATGAGTATGGGACCTTGAGTATTTTTTTTTTTCAAGACAAGAGTCTCACTTTGTCACCCAGGCTAGAGTAAAGTGGTGTGATCTCAGCTTACTGCAGCCTCTGCCTTCTGGGTTCAAGCAATTCCCCTGCCTTACCCTCCCAAGTAGCTGAGATTACAGTCACCCGCCACCATACCCGACTAATTTTTGTATTTTTAGTAGAAATGGGTTTTCACCATATTGGGCAGGCTGGCCTGGAACTCCTGACCTCAAGTGATCCACCTACCTTGGCCTCCCAAAGTGCTGGGATTATAGGTGTGAGCTGCCACACTCGGCCAGGACCTTGAGTATTTTATTTACCTCCCTGTCCTGGGATGTAGCACAGTGCCTGACATATATTTAATAACAAATATTTATTGACCACTTAATAGGAATTCATAGTGGATTGGAGAAAACTACAGGTAATCAGACAATTATAATATAGTAAAGTAAGTGCTGTGGCAGATATGCTAT